TGTGATGTGAAAAAATGCATAACATATAGTAACATTTGCATTGTCATATTCTCAATATGTGCACGCACGGTTGACAAATAGAAATTTTCTCTTAACCTGCATGAATCTTTGTTAGTGTAGTATTTTCTGAACAATTATATGGTTGGAGAGGTCTACTGTGTGATTTGTTGTATTGTCAAGGATACACTTGAGCTCTAGTTGAAAATTTATTTGCTAGTTTACTTCTAGTTCAAAGTTTTGTGCTGAAGAACATTGATGTTGTTTGATATTGATCTCTACTAAGGAGTGCTATTTAGGTTTTGTATGTTTAAATGTTGGTATTGTTAGCTTACGACATCATTATATAGTTATATTTACTTATCCGTCCTATGTATCTTTAACTACAGGGTGCCTTGGATGGTGGATTAGATATTCCCCACAGTGACAAGAGGTTTGCTGGATACGCCAAGGATTCCAAGTCTCTCGATGCTGAAGTTCACAGGAAGTACATTTATGGTGGCCACGTCGCTGCATACATGAATGTATATTTCTAATACTTTGCTTAATAATAAATAGCTAAATAAAAAAGGGACTGGAATATTAACTGGTTATCATTATATGAATTACATTTTCAGACTTTGATGGAAGACGAGCCAGACAAGTATCAGACTCACTTTAGCAAGTACGTCAAGAATGGACTTGAGGCAGATGAACTCGAGGCACTGTACAAGAAAGTCCATGCTGCCATTCGTGCTGATCCAACTCCCAAGAAATCTGACAAGCAGCCACGCAAGGAACACAAGAGGTGAGTAAACAATTTGAATTGGATCTCTAATTTTTCTAAATTATTCTCTTATCATATTTTTCTTTCCATAGTTGTAAATGGTTTTTTTGGCTTATAATTTTGTTCGTCTTTGTTTTGGCACAGGTTCAACTTGAAGAAGCTGACATATGAAGAGAGGAAGAACAAGCTGATTGAGCGTTTAAATGCACTCAACAGTGCTGCTGTGGCCGATGAAGATGATGATGATGAGGATGACGAGTGAAGACTTACTTCTGTTTGCTCTTTTTTGAACCTTGTCTTATGAACCTTGTTACCTCATTTCTGTTTGGAATTGTTTTCAATTTTGAGAGTTTGTTTTACTCATTTTGTAGCTTTATTTCTCTTTTAGTTAGACAGAGTGACTGGTATTTATTTTTCTACATGAAATTAAATCGTATTATCGGATTATGTCTTTGCTGCAAATCTTGCTGCTTTTTCATGATTTTGGAATCTTATCTATTCTGGTAATTTCTGGTCATCTTCTTTATTAGGTGAATGTTATAGGACATGTATTTGAAATAAATATGATTATGTATTCTAACATGTAAAAAAATGTCTAAATTATGCACCTGTTATAATTTATAATGACCAGGAACGATTAGTTTAAAATCTAGTTTGTTTTTGTTAGTTAATTAATTTCTAATATCTAATAAAAACAATTTTCTTGAATCAGTTATCAAACATGCTTGGCCAAAGAATCAAATTTGTAGACATCTTTGAGGGCCCACCAAAACTTGAGACCTTATCAAATATCAACCAATCAAATCTCACCTTTCAATTACTTCATCAAGAAGATGGATGGGAGGTAAGTGCAAACACTATTATATCCCCTTCTTTCTACACTTGAAATTGTGTCCAAATTTCATCTAAAAAACCAAACAAAAACTAGAAAAAGATTAAAGCAATGGCCCATTTAGCCCCTTTCACCCCCTCTACGGCTAAACCATTTGTCTCTACATTTTCAAGAAAGACACCCAATTTGGCCTCTCCAAGATTCCTCAAAGTGTGGGCTTCTTCTTCTAATCAAGAAGAAACACACATCCAGAGGAGGTTAGTGTGTGCATCTTTGTGTATAATTTCGGGTATTCGTTTTTCGTTAGTTGATTAATTTCAAATTTGTTGTATGTGCAATGCAGGAGTATTGCATTGGGGTTGGCAAGTGTGGTGTTGGGATTGAGTATCGGTGGTGGAAATGCAAAGGCGGCGGCAAGGCGGCCGCCGCCACCTCCGCCGAAGGAGAAAAAAGACCCAAATATGAATGGTGTTTTAGCAAAAGTTCTGGCCAGCAAGAAGAGGAAAGAAGCCATGAAAGAATCCATAGCCAAGCTTAAAGAAAACGGCAAGCCCGTTCAAGGTCCGTCTCAATAGAGGCACTTTATCGGAATTTTGTTAACTCGTCGAGCCCGTTTTGGTCATTTTGAAAAATTGTGTAGAATCGCATCAGTTCATCCTCATTGTTTCAGTTTAAGTTGATGTAGCACAAACATGACTTATGTGGCAAAAGAATGAAAAGGATAAACTGATTCTGTAGTTTGAAGAATTGTTACCGTCGATTTTTGTATTTGGACGTACAACATTTTGATTTTCGTGGACTAGGTAAATCTTGATTAGTTCCGCAACAAAATTTTGTAACTAGGGGGCTATATTGGTTGGGGGTTTTCACCCCCAGCTCGGTAATTCAAATCGAGCAGAAACTGACTGGGTTCCGCCTGGAATCAGATGTCTTTCTGGAAGAGAACAACGAAAGGGTATTGAATCAATCAAATCAACACCAAAATTGATGTGTCTAAATTCGAACAAGGAGCATAAAAAAACATATAGAATAGCAGACCGAAAAAGGAAGAAGTTGAACTCATGCAGTGTTGAGTAAAGAGTAATAAATCACCCAAAATATCAGCTTTTTAGGTTTCCAAAGAATCGGGAAAGTGGCAACGGTCCATTAGCTTCATCGTTTTCACTGCTTACGTGTTTGGATCTTGACCGATGCTTCTTCTCTTTCTTCCTTCTCTTCAACTTTGACTTCGATCTTTTTGACTCTCTATCATCCTCATCACTGCTTGATGTTCCCGATGATGAATGTGAATGCTAAAAATGAAGTACAAACATCCAGTGAGTCAACTTGTCTTTTAAGGAAAAAAAATATGCAAAACTTGGTTTTCTAGAACATAAAAATGAAGTGATTTTACCCAGTTCACGGAAACTAGATAAGCTTTTTAAAATTGCATATGAAAATATGAAAATCAATTCTCATAATTAATTTGCCAAACATCGCCGAGTGGTTTCAAATCCAGCTGCGAATTTCCAAACATGTTGATAACAAGAAACACCTTACGCTATGTCGAAAATCAAAATTATCCAATTTAAATGATATGCATATAAAAGGGTATATCCAATAATCCAAATAGGGAAATGGTATATGCACCTTTCGCTTCTTGCTGCTATGTCGTTTTGAATCTTTCTCCTTTTTGTCTGCAAAAACATTTATCAATGAATATTAAAGCTAGATCAAGAACAGTGGAAGTACTTATTAACCGAATTGATTACCCTTTTTGTGGTTCGATTTGACGGTTGAGTGGTTTCTCCCATGGGCAAGTTTATGAGCCCTTTCAGCATCTAGCTGAGCTCTATACTCTATCATCATCTTATCTTTATCTGCTTCCAATTCTCCCTTTCTTATTTCTTCTTCCTAGCAATTACGCCATTAGAGCCATGGTATATATAAACCTCAAGAAAAAGGCATGGATAATTGGTTAAACTTTAACTTCAATTCTCTTACTATGTCATAAATATTAGTTCCTAGGATTTTCATTTAGGAATCTTTCGGGATGCAGGGCATCAAATCAAGGGTATTAAGCGCATGCACAACGGAATATCAACTTTGTTCCCAAGAAAAAGACTATGTAACGCTTTTATGTGATTGTGAAATATCAAGGGTCGAGCTAATACGTAAAAACTGCAAATACGTTAAAAGGATAGAGATTAAGGAGAAGAGGTAAAATGAAATAGGAAAAGTGCATAGCCTCGTAAAATCACCTTTTGCTTCTTTTTGTATTCCTCCCAAGTTACTGTATGAGAAGTCTTGAGACTTGCCATACGAGCAGCATGCCATTCTGGTGAATGAAATGAACCATCCACCTGAGACTATCATCATCAAAAAACAGCCAGACCAGGACACAGATTGGCGGAAAAATAAACACTATTCTAGAAGATAAACGAACTAACACATTTTCTCCATTAAAAGCGCTTATCAACATCACATCAGTCAAACGTAATTTCTTCAATTAACTGTATAATACACAAAATATAGGTTTGCAGCTTAAAAAGCAAGTTAATTAAAGGCTCAAAATCAGCCTCTGGCTCATTGGAGTTAATCTATGATCTTCACAAGAATATGTAATCAATATAAAAAAAAATTAAAAAAAAATGTATATTGAGAACAAAGGAGGTTCTAAACTCTAAACTTAAACCATAACCATACACTTCAAATTGTAGCCTTCGCACTTACGGACTTGTCCTAAGTTCTGAAGTAGATTAAACAATTTGACTAGTGGGCAACATAATCACAATCCTCTTAGCAAATAGTTTGATATTCAACTCAACTCACCTCAACAAAGCCTCGTACACTTATCTACAGGAAACTAGGTGGATCTGGATGAATACATGCATGAACACATAGTTGGTGTGCCATTGTCTTCGTAGATTGAATCTAATCCTTTTCGGCCACACATAGTTAATCTACATTTTAACCAACCAACTAAATTAAACGTAATCAGTGGCGTTTAACACAAAAAGCGAAAATTACTTCGCCACACATATAACGAAAAGAATACAGATAGTTCAATCCCAAACAAATGACTAAGAAAACCTCTGAATTCACACAGCCACACACAACAAATTGATGCTGAGTAGACCAACCATGGTTCTTCTTTCTGCGTTCATTCCAATATTCAGCAATTACCAGTACAGCAATCATTCATTCCCATCTAAAAATTATAAATTACGAAAACCTACAATCCAAATTCCTACTAACTAAAACATATAAAGTAACTCAGCATTAAAAAAAACGAAAAATAAAATAAAAAAATAAAGCAATATGGAAGGGTACGAACCATGCCATCCTCAACCTCGTCCGGCCCGCCTGAGCTCGACCCGACCCGGGATCTCTGCATCGCTTTGTACGCTTGATTTTTCCCCATTTTACAAAATTATCTAATTTCCAAAAACAATTGCAATAATTTCCGAACTGCACTGAAATTATTTGAAGGGGAAAAGATTAAATGAGAGGATAATACGAATTTTTTTTCGAGAAAACGAAAATATGAATTGAGTAATTTCAGGTAATGGAGAATCTGTTGCCAATGAATTCGAAGGTTTATTGCTGTGCGGGTTGTGTGAGTGAGGGCGGAGGAGTTTGGGGTCAAAATTATAAATACTACAAACTGATGTGGGTAAATATATAAATAAATAAACATTTAGATAAATATCTAATGTGAGGATCTTATTAAACTATTGTCATTAATTATTACTCCCTTCATCCAAATAATTAGCCATTAATTCTCTTTTTGTGTATTTAAAGCCTTAACCTTGATTATGTCGAACTTTGGCCGCCGGAGTTTGCACTCCGACGGGCCAAGTTGGTTATTTTTTGTAAATATTGGTATTTTGTAGGCTATATATGATAGTCGCCTCTTTGAAAAATATCTCCGGAACCCACATTCCATTTAATTTAATAACTGTACGTGCCAAAAGTAACAAACATTCTTTAAACCAGCGATTGGGCGTGCAGGCAACTAGCCAAGCTTGCTTGCTTAGTGTCTCGCATGGATCGACTAGCCATTGCGATACTCTCTACTCGATTTTCATCTCTCGCGAGTAGCATTATTATCTCTACTCGATTCCTATATATACAATTTGATATCCTATACAATTGGAATGTATAAATACATTTTTTGTGAGATAATCACAAATTAACATAATTAAACATTAATTATATTGCAACTTTTATTCAACTATACATTTTCTTTTCTTTTCATCTGATTTTTGTACACAGTTTCCCAATGTAAATAAGGCCAACTAAAATATAGGCCAAGTACAGAGGAAATTCTATGCTACATCTGGTTATTAACACCGGACGATTATTAACCGTAGATCTACACATAATCACACTCACACACCCATGTGTATGTGTGCTTAGTGGGTGGTTATTTAACCTGATCTACGGTTAACAAATACCCGGTGTAAATAACCCGGTGCAGCATATAACTCCCCCCAAATACACCCATTTTAAATCACTTCGAACAACATTTAATTTGCATTTGTGATTTACTTCAAAGTTGATCACAACCTCCGCGGTGAAAACAACTTCTGCGCATTCTTCACCGCAACCACTTTCCTCACCAAAAGCTTCCACTTTACCTCTTCTTTCTTACTCAGATGCTCCATTTTCACCTTAAAATGCCTTCAAACAAGAAAAAAAATTCAAGCTTGACAAAAAGATCGAATTTTTACGAAAAAACCCAATAAAGTTATATTTAGACACACTCACCTACAAAGAGGGACCTTGCATGTTTCCGGTTCATTACACATACGAGAATGAAGTTCTAAAAGCTGCCACATGCGCTTACAATGCACGCATCCACCTGGCACTTTAGTCTTGCACACATAGAAATGTCGAATAAGAGTTTCGAGCCCTTTGCATGCAGGAAAACCACAAGGAATCGAGCTTCCTTTGAGCACTTTATCGCGGGGCCCGATTGTTCTACACCCTTCTCTACATATGTGGAGCAAAGCCTCCATTGCCTCGTGTAGCTGTAGGTACACTTTTCTCTCCTCGATTTTCTTCATCCTTTCTTGTTTTCTCTAGACAAAGTTGTATAAGAAATATCAAGATTGTAAAATATAAAAAAGTAAGAAATAAACTTTTTTTTTTTTTAAGATTGTAACTTACGGAATCTGCTTCGACGACTGATTCTAGTAGCTCTTGTTCGAGAGAAGGGTTATCACGTTTCATGAATTTCCATGCTTCGGTTTTGGAGATGGATTTGAGGTCATTCATTATTATACGGAGACAAAAAAGGGCTAGTCTTGGTGTATCGCAGTTTTTAGCTAATTGAAGTACGTCGACAACGTTTTCGTTATTCAACCACCCTTGTTCTAGAATGTACTCGCAGATTCTTTTGAGAGACGGTACAGTATACGAGTGTGATAAAACTAGTAAATGGAGAACAAATTTATTCATCTCCTCTTCTTCGTAACTGCACGAGTATATGCATCAAGATTGTCAAGAAAGTATGTGATTTGATTTTTTTTTTTTTTAACTACAATGGACCGTATAGTATATAAAAGCATGCATACCAAGATGAATAAAGGAAACGGATGAAAGTACAAACGGCATCATAGGGTACCCCAAGAATCCGTATAAATCTAACACCGTTCTTGACTTTCGATTGCTGCAGAAGATTCCCTATAACCGGTGATGCAACACTCTGCAGAACAACAAAAACGTTACAAAAAAACAGAAAAAAAAAAGAACCCAACAAATATTTATATGATTGTATTACGACATACTGACCAGAATACTAAGATGAGCTGGAATAATCGACCCGTTTTCGGTAATAACGTGCACGTCGGCTCCATATCCTTCTTTGAAGAGCTTCTCCCATACATCTCTTGTTTCCTTTGGAACAAAGCAATGCTTTGGAAGTCCTCTATTCAACTTTTTTCTAGGTAATGGAGGTGGTTTAGGAATATTGTGATGGTTATTTGGAGAAGGCATTTTATCTTCGAGAAAATATGAAATATCCGACGAATTTCCTTCTTCTATGTTTATATCAAAGGATCGATCGAAAGATTCGATTACAGAGGATGGCCATGAAATGTCAGCACCAGGGGAGCCCATTAATCGCTTCTATCGAACGGAAAAAGTTCAGAGAGATTCTGCATTATTATATATAGAACTTTATAAGCAATTCAAGAATGCAAAATAGGAGCAAATTAATTGCAGAAAGAATTTCTCTTGACAAGGGATAATGGATTGAGGAGAAGCCTAAGAATTTTTTTCCTGTTTGAAGTTTTGGGAAACGTTGCTTCGAAAAAGAAAGCATAAATTTCACCCCCCCCTAACAAAGATTCCTTTTTTTTGGCCCCCTCACTTGGAGAAAGAGAACTTGGATGAAAAGGAAAGTATTGACAACTGCACCATATTGATCTTTTGTTATTTGATGATTCAGAAAACTCAAAGCAGCACTCCACATATATTATATGCATAAAATCTAATCAAATTCATAAAATTCGATTTCGACTTATTCATAAAGCACCGCAATTTATACATAAATCATAAAATCCCTGATTTGCTGAATCAATCTAAACCAGAGATGCCACCAAACATACAATCAGAAAGCCTCCAGAAATTATATATAAAAAAAAAAAAAAAAAAAAAAAAAAAAACCAAGATTTTCAAGAATGACTGATTCAACTGATCTTGATAAACAAAGATACATAAGACACAGATAAACTGTGATTTAATCCTGCAAGATAAAAGTCCCAGAAAACACAGAAAATAAAACTATTTATTAAAGATCAAAACTTTTTTCAGACAATCACTTTTCAGACATCAAGACTGCATGGGGTTTTCTCAATCCAATAACACAATCAAATGCCCAGAAACAAACATAACAAAATCACTTCAAATGGGCTGACAAATAAGAAAAAAAAACATAATAAATTATTGTAAAGATCCTATTTTGAAGCTTACCTGAACCAGTATCACAAATTCTTTATCTCCTCTACAGAAAATAAAACACAACAGTATGCACAAATTATATTCCTGAAAAATAATGGAGAAAAAGAAATTAAGAGATAAATACTAATTTTTGTGAACTGTGATAATGCAAAAGGTGGAAGATTTCAGAGATAGAGAACGTTTTGTCTGTGGGAGAGAGAGGTGGTGGTGGGTGTGGGATTAGTTAAAAAGGGCCTGGTAATAGTGGTTTTTTACTATCTCCTTTTTGGCATTGAAATCAGGTGACAGTATCTGGTTTTGAATTATCTTTGCCAATATTTTTGATGATATGATTTTATGAATTAATTTACTTCTTATCCCCTTTTGCAGAAATTTGATGTGGTTTTCCACTTTAATAAAGGGTAAAATGGGGATTAATTTGTCATAATTATGTGATGAATCATAATTCTTTTATGGTTACAATCTGGAAATATGAAGCAAGTGTATTGTCTATTTTCTATATAAAATCTTGTATTTTTTTTATCTCGTTGAGAACAATCTGTAAAACATGAGAAATCAAACTTTTATTATAGCGCAAATTATGACTACTGAGATAATGTTAAAATATGAAAATCTCCTTTAATGTATGGGTATTTACAATCACCCTCAACTATGAGTCTTCTTATACGTCATTACTGCAGTGTCAAATTTAGTGGAATCTTCTAGATTGTGTGGAATATTCTCTAGTTTGTTTTCTTTTACGGCATTCGAGCTCCACATTTTGAAACAAGATGATCATAAAATGTGTCTCTTGGCTTGTAAATATCAGAAGTACATCAGAACCTGCATTTTTGCATAAAACGAGTACAAACTAGAGATTATTCCACGGAATCTAGAAGATTATATTGAATTTAACACCATAATAGTAAACTTCTTGTCTAAGAAGATTCATAGTTGAGGGAACTAATTGAAATTACCCAAATATAAAGGTTTTTTCATAATTTAATATTATGGTGATTTACCCTATATTATATGAACAAGTCCCAAAAGTATTGATTTTTACAAATTATTTTCTTGTGTATCTAGAATAAAATGGAATATTTGAAGATAAATAAGTATTGGACATGCTATTTTGTGATTCCAATAAATATCCAAAAATAGTAAAATGGAAGAAAGAATCTTTTGTTGGGACTATGATTTTGTGATTTAGAAAGATGGGCCATGATTAGTGTGATACCGGCCCGAATGGGCCCCACGAGTTGCGTAGGCCGGTGGGTGCATGGATTGACACGTGGCGTCGTCTGTGGCTGGCTAAAGTTGCTAGTTGCTACTAGAAGCCAAGGTTAGGCAAGTGGTTTGGCACGATTATTCATAAATTAAATGAAAAATAATTAACCAAAATAAATAAATAAATAAATAAAGAAAAACAAAAAGAATGGCAGGCAATTTTTTTTAGTACATTTAAAATGCATATTGGGCCTTCAAGAAGCCTTTCTATTATGGGCTTTTTTAAATACCTATTGGGCCAAGTTATAGTGAAAAAGCCCAATATGGCTTTTGCTGCTTCAAATCTTAATTAAAAGAGTAAATTACGGCCACACCCCCTGAGGTAAGGTAAAATTACAAAACCCCCCTCATTGTAGTGTCAAATTTAGTAGAATCTTCTAAATTATGTGGAATATTATCCAATTTGTACCATGGTATGCGTGTTAAATGCATCCCACGCCGACAAAAAAATGCCGAAACATCACAGAAAAATGACAAGAAGAGATTATAGCAGCCTCACAAAACTTGGCTGTACTTGGCAATTCCCACCAAGGAAACTTGATAACTAACTAGATATGTGAAACCATAGACATATATCTCTCTTACATAAAAAAAAAAAAAAAAAAAACTAACTTCATTACAACCTGCAAGAAAAGAAAACAATGGCCAAAGTAGAAGAAGAGACAGCTAAACAAAAGCCTCGTATTCTTGTCGTTCCATACCCTGCACCAGGCCACCTAAATCCTGCACTTGCATTTGCCAAGTACTTAGCCTCAAAGGGTCTATCGATCACCGTTATCATCACCACGAATTTGAGCAAATCTGCCAAATTTTCGTCATGCAGCTCGATTACCATAGAGAACATATCTGATGGTTCGGAAGAAGTTAAAGAACCCGAGTCCATCGAAGGCTACTTCAAACGGTTGAAAACCGTGCTTTCACAGAACCTGGCAAATTTCATCGACGAACAGAAAAGTCGCGGTTCTTGTGCTAAGCTTATTATGTACGACTCAATAATGCCGTGGGTTTTGGACGTAGCACACGTGCGAGGCTTGCTTGGAGCTTCGTTTTTCACTCAGGCTTGTGGTGTTTGTGCTATTTACTACCATATGAAACAAGGGTCGTTGAGAATTCCTCGTGACGAAGAAGATTCCAGGTTATTATCTTTGCCTTCACTGCCTACACTCGAGACTAGAGATTTGCCTTGTTTTACTGGGATTGGGGGCGCTAGTCAAACTGTTCAGACACTTCTCGCTGATCAGTTTTCGAATCTTGACCAAGTGGATTGGATCTTTTTCAACACATTCGACAACCTGGAATACGAGGTACCGTTCATTTGAATATTTTTACGACAGTATCTACCTACATTTTGAAGTACATACTTTTTACAAAAAAAAAAAAAAAAAAAAAAATTCAGGTAGTGGATTGGATGGCAAAACTATGGCCAATCAAGACCGTGGGTCCCACATTCGCATTACTGCAGAAAGACGAGAAACTTTCGGACAACAAGAGCCACATGATTAGCCTATTCGAGCCAAACACCACCACCTGCAAAGAATGGCTAGACTCGAAAGAAACCGCCTCTGTTGTTTACGTTTCATTTGGAAGCATAGCATCGCTCAGAAAAGAACAAATGGAGGAACTGGCAAATGGCCTAATAATGAGCAACCGCCACTTCTTATGGGTAGTAAGAGCTTCGGAAATGGAAAAGCTACCTCCGAATTTCACTTCATTGACATCAGAAAAGGGGCTAATAGTCGAATGGTGCCATCAAATGGAGGTCTTGGCTCACCGTGCCTTGGCGTGTTTTATGACTCACTGTGGGTGGAATTCAACGCTCGAAGCGTTGATCAATGGGGTGCCTCTTATAGCCATGGCTTGGCAGATTGACCAGACGACAAATTCCAAGTTTATCGAGGATGTTTGGGGAGTCGGGGTTCGAGTTAAGAGTGGTGAAAATGGAATTGTTGGTCGAGAAGAAATTGCAACGTGCATAGAAGAAGTTACTCAAGGAGATAAAGGGGTGGAGATCAAGACAAATGCTTGTAAGTGGAAGGAATTGGCTAACGAGGCAGTAGAAAAAGGCGGAACATCTGCAAACAACATCGAAGACTTTGTTTCGAAACTTATGTCTAGCTAAATTGTTGTCCCTTGTAACATCAGAAAACGAGATTTCATATAATAATTGTGTTAAAATTGAAGATGGCTTTTATACAGATGCTTTGTTTTCATCTATCAAAATTTATTCCCACTCAAGCAGTAAGAACAGATCTATTTCTCCACTGTTGTTTTTAAGATCTCGTTTTCGTGCTCAAACTCGGAAAAAAGGGATCTTCGGTAAAGGTATTGTCTTTTAGTGCCGATGTGACAAAAAAAAAAAAATGTGCGCATAAATGTGCGCAGCACCTGTACTATTAAAGCGGGCAAAAACGGCTGTGCTTCTATTCTCTACATTTCCTCAGATTCAGCTCTGCTGCTACCGTCAACGCGACTGCCCAATCTAACTATGTCTTCAACAAGTATCTTTCCATCTGCAACAGAGAATAACGTTAACACGAAAAAGAAAAGAAAAAAATTAATTAATCAAGACCAGTGTATTGGTTGTCCGAGAATTTGATATAGGACAGTGAAATCGATCAAGCCACATGCAAGCAAAGGTAACCACTGACCTGTGTCTTTAGAAAGATTGCTGATTAGTTCTTGTACCCCCTCTTTGCCTAAAGTGTCCTTCAAATACGCAGCAGCAGCTGCCACCTCTTCGGGAGTCACTTTACCATCATAATCCCTGTATATACATATGGTGTTAATTGATCATTTTGCAGAGGAATGGTACAGTTAAATGCATTTAGACAGAAGTATCTCTACACGTAAAGAAATAGATTAGATAACATCAAAAGTTTCGTCAGGTTTCAATATTTCTATCTAAATGTAGGCCCCAAAAAAACGAAGCATGAAGATACACCTCTACCTGTCTAATATTCGCCATTGGTCACCAATTTTTGCGTCAACGTCATCAATTTCTTTCTCGAGGTTTTGAAGCATAGCATCGACCTAAATCAAATCATAAAACCACATGACGTAAGTTCATGTCATCAAACTGTTTCTTCCAATTGCCAATTGTGGCTTTGTCTGGATAGCTGTGTCTGTGTGTGTGTGGTGGTGGGGGTGTGTACAAACCTTATCTATAAGAGCAGATGAAACCACGTGTCTCTCAGGAACTTCAGCACCATCCTCACTTTCATCATGGGCAGCTTTATAGGCCTTCATTGCCTCCACTTCACCATCTGTACCATCTTTATCCACCATGCTATTGTAAAGCTTAATCTGACAAATTAAGAGAAAATTACCACGTGCAGTCGAAACTATCCAGTTTTAAAAATATATTCAGTTGTATTTGCACACATAAAGGCAAAACATCAAATATCCAAGAACTAAGAGTAATTTGAAATTCATGACACAAAATGTGTTTAAGGTTTTGATGATCTGTACATGAACTTTGGAATTTTATGATCTGGAATATAATAGACTAAAATTCTTGTGATCCATAACGAAAGCAAAGGTCTGAACTCTGAAGTTATATTTTATAAGCAGTTTGCACAAAATACAACAATTATAGTGGAAGCATAATATTCGACAGGCATGTCACCAGTTTTGCCTTGAGTTCCTAAAGGACAACACTGCAAGTGATCTAAATTTAGATATGTTATGTCTTATCTCAGATCTCCATGTATCCATTTATCCTAATGGACCTTAATCATGAAAATGATCAAATTAAAACAATATCTAATCTTCGAGTAATTACTGAGAGTCGAGATTAGAAGTGCTGAAAAAAGGATATGATACCTCTTTATTGACAAGCCTTAGAAATTCTTCGCGCTCCCTGCTCACTGACTGCGCAATAAATAAAAATAAGAAAGAGAGTTAGAGAAGAAATATGAATGCAGAAGTGCCAACTCATAACAAACTTAAAGCTAGAAATTTGTTTATTACAGAAGCGGAAGCTAAAACAGCTAATGCACGACTAAGTTCACAAAGCTGTTCTTGTTTATCCAGCGCTCTTGCTCTAGCTTGTTGTTGTGCTTCTCTAGCAGTTGGAACTATCATCTCCTTCAAAGCCACATCAACTTCAGCACCAACAGATTCTTTTTTTCTGGCTAGTTCTTCTTCCTCTTTTTCTGCCTCCTCCTAGTTTAGGTCAATTTAAAAAACAATTATATAAGAGATCACGTAGAACATTTTCTAGACCAAAATATTTGTGGGAAAAAGTGAGAAACTTCATCAACCTTGATAAGTTCCTCCTCCTTTTCGAGGAACTCCAACTTCCGTCTCCTTTCTGATACAGAATCTTCAGATGGCAATGATGTAACACCCACAGTATCCACAACCTCGTCTGGGAGGGAAGACAGTGTAGCTCGAACTGCTTCTTCGGGCCTCAACTTTCCTGATAGTGTGAAGGCTCTGTGAATAGCATGTGCAGAAACATAAGATGCTATGTAAGAATCAGACGATGATTAGAAACTTCAAATTGGACAGGCAAATAATAAGTTGGCTATTATCCAATTAACCTGGAAAGAATCAAAAGTGAAGATGGAACGGAGTGATTCAGAGATAAATCTAGCCAATCTCGCAGCTGCAACCGAAAAAAAGAAAAAAGAAAATCAATGATGATAATTAGCCAGTGAAAGGAAACGCCTACATCTCCTATAACCTATAAATAGAAACTTTCAGCCTGCATACAAATTCGTAAAAGTCACCAAATTATAGAATTTTTGCGCCTTAAAGGTTTTGAGTTTTTCACATTTTGATGAAGAAATTACATTTTCTTATGGAAAATGATCAAACATCTATGTTTTCATCAAGCAGTTCTGTCATACTCTGCACAGATTATTTATAAAACCATAAAAAACTTTTAGGAGTTCATAAAATAATTATGCAGTAAAGTTCAAATATGAAAGGAGTTTGATTGATGCGTAGAGTGTTAGGTTATGACGAACAAAGGTCTCATGTACTTTGTTCTACTATTTTTTAACAGTACTGTACTTTTGTTGTCAATTCATATAAACTAAAATCTTATATGTCCACTTTCTGTATATATGTATTTTTGTCGTAATAAATGACACAAACCTGTTGGCGCATTTCCTCCACCGAAACTACTCCAAGCATTCCCCTCTCTCTACAATCTTCGCGAAGCTCAGCCTCTGATAGAGACTCCACACCCTCTGATTGAATCAATTTGTCGTCTTTCTTTATACTGAAAAATTGAATCCAAATGACCAAATAAGTATTCAGGATAGGTAAATAGTAAAGACAGTAGTTGACCAGTTGGGTTGTCTTATTTTATTCAGGAAAACACATGTTAATATTGCTGTAAAATTGGAGCAGCATAGAACAAGGCAAACTTGGTACATTTCCGGGTCTATGACTATCAAATCAGAGGAGCTTTCGAGATATTCTTCTAAATTATTAATGCGCCTATCATATGAACATATCACACATCGCAAGCAAGGAAACATTGATTTATCATAAAAGTGGAAACCAGGTATTGCACCGGCACGTCATCTTCTATAAACGAAAAATCTAACAGAAGTACGAAATATAGGCAGGTGCAACTGATGCATACTTTAGTAAATTTTATGATACCAAATCTATCAAAAATTAAACAGTTGCACAATCATCATAAGCTATGTTCCTCGGACAACAATGATTAGCTTTACTATGTAGAAATGACCCATATGCACAATTCCCAAAAAGAATACAAGACTTCATTGCACAGTGAAGGGAATGGGAAACAACACACCTTTGCAACCTCTTCCGTAGCATATACCGCAAGTAAGAGTCTGTTCCAATAGAGCTGATTCCCATGTACTTGCACATATTCACTAGACGAGGCCTAAATTGCAAAAAACACAACCATATCATGTAATGATTGTTGTATATTTTAATCTTAAACAATGAGATACAATTATGAATACGAAAAAATGAACCTGCTGATATTATCTAGTGTGAGTTCATCATTGAACAGCTTAGCAAATCCCAAAATTTCCTCATTTGAGACACCAGCACCAGTTCTAACCTGTATCAAACACATCAAAATAATATAAACTGGGATTATGGAGGCATCATCTTCTATTGACAAGTTCATGATTTTGCACTCACTCTGTTCAGAAATTCATCCAGGTCCTCAGCCGTTTTCTTAGTTTCTCCACTCCGTGAATTTTGGACTTCTTTTGCCATTTCTTGGACTGTCCCTTGAAGAAACTTTGCATATTCTATTTTGGCATTCAACTTCCGCTTTAATGCTTCCTACAAGTCCATTTCCAGTTAAACTAACATTCTTATTGGAGAATTCTTGAAGATAAATAACCATTTATCGTCTCAACCACATATGCATACCTCTTCTTTCATCTTGTCCTGGAAGGTTGATGGTAACATGTTTGGGAAGAGCTTCAGGAAAACGGGCAACAAAAACTCCATAAACGGAACGATGATAAAAACAGCAAACGGAACTAGCCTAAACACATCAGCAGTAGTTCTTGTAAGCTGTTGCCTCTCCCTTCTGGACAGGCTCTTTCCACCTGCAAGTTTCATCAATAATCTCGAACTGATCCTCACATCAGCCCACAGAAGCTTAAACCCCAACCAGTAATGCTGCAATGTTGATACAACCTCAGTTTTCCAGTGGATGAGTTTCTTGGCCCAGTCTTCCCTGCAAGTACAGGAAACAAATCATAAAGGGAATCTGTTTTAATCGGTTACAACAGAGATGTGGGGAGAAACTGTACACTGATAAAGAAATCTAACCTGCTCATGGAAGCCACAGCTCTCAGAGCTGGACCAATGCCTAATAGTGTGGTCCATAATTTTTTTAAAACAGGCATAACAACGCTCTGAGATTCTTGCAACTTTTTAGCTTTTGCTTTGGCCTTTGCAGTACTCAGACCCACAACAGCTTGATCACATTCTTCCGGGGAAGCTTCTTTTCTCTTTTTTGCAGACATTTCCTCATTGTTCTCATCATCACTTCCCAGATCGGGCTGCTTTGCAGTTGCTGTGGAAGCATAATGTCTGAGTTGCGACATTAACCTAACACCCATCAGGCAACTAAAATCCGAACTTCTATTTCCATAACTGAATGATGTAATTCCAGAACCCTTGTGTCTAAAAACCGGTGAGATTGAGCAATCCAGTAATTTCTTGCTCAATGCTGAAGTTTCATTAGTCTGTCTAATTTGATCTGAATTTTGAGAGACGTGGTCCTTGATGGACGTATAACCACGAGAATCAAAACACTGACCTGATTGCCCCTGCCCCAAGGTTTGGAAACTTTGTGTAGAACGAACAGGGACATTCAAGTAATCTGATACAATCTTTCTCCTCCTCAAAATCGCCCGAGAAGCCATCATCAAGGTTTTTATACTTCACAAAGAAATCAAAGTCAGAATTCACACACCAACTAGTTACGTGAGACAACAAAAGAATTTACCAGAATAAAATTGGATTAGATTGTTAAGTATTAATATGCATCTACATTACAAAAATGAAATAAACATAATAGGACAAGGAAAAATATTCTCTGTATAACAAAGTCAGCCTTATGTTTGAAAGACCGGATGACTTAATTGAGTTAATACTGAGTAACCACACATTACTGTGACTCTTTCATGTGCTCAATTAACCACGTGTAAACAATAAAACCGAAAATAAAGAAAGATCAGCTGATTGAATATAACGTAACCGTCCATAACTGCAGCTAATAGATGTATCGCATTAATCGCTTATATGTCAATTAGTAAATGCAGTGTATCTGCCAAAGAGGGACATATTTATTCCTTCATTTCAAGTAGTAACACAGTTGTCCACAGTTGTATACAAACATAAAATTTTGTTGTTCATCTTTGCAGAGGGTACCTTTTGAAGAATTGCAGGAATTTTGCTACTGGTTAGCGATGTAAATTACGAGAACACGAAGCTGGTAATGGGTTCAGTAAAACCCGGAATACAAGTAATTGTGCAAATATATCAAGGCCTGCTTGTCTATAACTTTTGATCAGGTTACGATTATTTTGGCAATCGTTTACTGGACATGAGCAACAAGGAAAATCAAGTTTCTCATGACACTTCTATAAGTTATAAACCAGTTTTTACTTAACAAAGAAGATTGTGATAAAGTGCTGCATAACTATGTGAAACTTTCAGGTATAACTCTATTAATCAACTGCCTATCTTCCCAACACCAATTACATTCCTGCACCAACAACTGGCACATATGATGTGAAACTAATTAGAGTCACATGTAACTCATTCAGCTAATTCTGCAATTACAAAAAACGAAAGGCTGATGCCTAATTTACACGCGCTCGTATTCATGATTTCCTTCCCTTTTTCTATTGGTCCTGCTTGACGGCTAAATCATTTTATCGACACTATAAAGACAAGAATACTTGCATATGCTCTCGCAGACAATCCATGGAGCATAATTAAATACGAACGAAACTAGATGAGATATCGAATTTCATTAAATGAAAAAAAAAATCTGAGTAACCTATCTAAGAGAAAGCTCACTGAGTCAATAGCAAAAACACAAACACAAACACATACTACCGCTAAAAACCATCTTCAAAAGTAGGGATTCGAATATTAAAAAAATTAAAATCAATCAAACTTGTCTCACAAGAAAACACAATTCAAGGCATTTGACTGCGAATTTACAAAATCAGAAAAAACAAATAGAGTAATCGAACAGGAAAATGCGGTGAAAACCTATCTAGAGCGAGTGTGTGAATTAAAAAGAGAGAGATTACTTACAGTTGCAAATGAAAGTACGTAAAAATTTATCAGAAGTCGAAATAAAATATGTCCGCCTCTGAAATTAAATATGTTCACATATATCAAAAGAAATATATATAAATGTGTGTATCTATAGATTGTGTATAGCAGCTGTGTGGGTGTTGTGGCCGGGGGCGGGGGGGTTTACGGAGGTTTTAGTCCGGGGGGAAAGAGGGCTGCGGAGGAACAGGGGTTGGGATCCGGTGTGCGGTAGTGTATCGTATAATAAAGAAACGCATGTGGACCGTTGTACTTTTCATAAATCTCATTTGGCTCCCCAATTTTATGGTAAATAGATAATACGCCCCTAAGTTCTTGGGAAGTCTGACTCTTGACTGACGGCCTACCTCCCTAATTGAATTAGTTAAACGCAACGTTTTAAATTAGGATAAACAACAATTGATATTTCATAGCAAATATAGCAATAAATATTAATTTATTTTGCCTGTAAAAGAATAATTAGGTTGACTTGATTTGACCTTTTTTCTTACGTCCATTTTTTAAAGAAAATTATATTGCATTGCATTTGAAGCCATGAATTTGATCACACTCTATTCTAGGGCTGTGCATGGATCGGTTTTAACCATCAACCAACCCATTTTCGACCCACAATTTGTGATGGTTAATCAACCATCAACCGACCCATTTAAGTTGGGTCGATAATGTCAACCAACCCATGTATAGTTGGGTCGATAATGGTTTCTAATATGCTAAAAAGTTGGTTAGTCGGTTAATATCGGCCAACCAACTTTATTCATTAATTTATTATTTATTAATTTTCATTAAAATATTTAATAGTTTTAATTTCAAATTTCTATTTTATATCACATTTATTAAATTGTTTAATATTGACTAAAATCCTAAAAGCAATAAATCTAACCTAATTATCTAATTTTAACTATTTTAATTTTAAGATATACAGTCTAAATATTTGGACGATTATTATTTGTTGAACCATTTATGTTTAATTGCAATATATATGCCCGTAATGTTTTTTGAATCTTTTATTTGAATATTATTGAACTAGTCGTATTTAATTTATAAAAGATATAGCGTTGTAACAAGTAATAAAATATTAAAAAAAATTAAAAAAATATTTAGATGGATGAACCATCAACCAAACCACCAACCAACCCATTAAATTGGTTTTCAACCATCACCCAACCCATGTAAGTTGGGTCGATAACGGTTTCCAATATTTGCCAAAGTTGGTTGGATGGGTTGGGTTGGTTTTATGCCCGGTTTTTAACCAAACCAACCAACGCACAGCCCTACTCTATTCAATTGTAACAATTTTTTTTATTTTTTTTTTCAAATTATTATACGAGAATGTAGATTTAATTTAAGCCTTCACCTATATGGCTGGTTGTAGGTTCGTTCATTAAAAAAATATTTTTTTTTCTTGTAAACACACATTAAAAAAACAAATATATATCTATATATATGCAAAAAAATAAGGATATTTAATAATGGTGTATAAGAACATAAACATACAAGCATAACAAAAGATACATTCACACACATTCCAAAAACCCCTCACAAACAGCAGATTTTTCTCAGCTTATTTTGTCAATTCCTCAATCTATACACTCCAAATGACTCTTCAATCATTCGGATTATTTAGTATACAACACGGGGCTCCCACTCGTCGAACAACTCGTTTTCCACTTATCCACAATTGCACGATTAGTTATTTATTTTCAGTAAGTGCACAAACACGAGTTGCATTCTGAACTTTGTCTTCTTTTTTTTTTTCGCGTTACATAAAATGAATAGCGCGACTCATTTCCTGCACAAAGTCACGCGTCTTCTCATTAGAAGCAAACTAACGAAATTCGCGAGTAATGGAAAAAAACAAGGTATGATTTAAAAAAAACAATTAATAGAGCAAGAGTGAGAAATATACCAAGGGAGCTTGAAAGTATCTTTCCACCATCCTTGTTTAGAGCAGTTCATCACAATTTTATCCAATCGTATGATGATCTCGGAAAATGTTGGCCTTGCACCAGAATCTGGATTCCAACATTCCTCGATCAACCTGGAATATTCGATAGTCAGTTATGCAGAAATAATTAAGCGTTTAAATTTTTAAACCGAATAAATATATAAATATAAGCCGTCTGTGGTCAGAAAATATGGACGGGGCATTATACTAAAAATAAAAGACAAATTAAAATTGATTTTATTCTTCAGGAGTCTCGTCTATGATTAACAAAACAAGACGACTCACTCTCTTAGGTCTGAAGGAAATGATTTCGACTTTGACTTGAATGTTGGTCTCTTTTCTTCTAAGCAGATTAACTTAGCAGCCTCGTCGGCTGACTTAGAAGAAAATGGTGGCACCCCCTCCATCATCTGAATATAAAAAATATGAGAAGTTATAAATTAGATTGCTTACGAAAAATGTGAAATAAGCTTCTATTACAATTCACAAGTAATAAGAAGGTGTTAAGAAATTGAAATCATTAGTAAAGAATGTGAAAACAAAAAAATTCTGATTGACATATTGTATCATGAAATTGCTTGGGTGCAATATGGTTAGGGCAATATAATTCCAAATAGTAGGAAGGTCATCAAAAAGTATACCTCATACAGCATAATACCATAAGAATGCACATCCACGCTTCTGTCAAAAATTTCATCCCTGAAAATTTCAGGTGCCGTATAGAAACCTATATTTCACACAGACAAAACGAAAACGTTAAGATTGTATAGTAAATTTATGCATGAAGCTATGCCCTTTTAATATATACACACATTTATATGAGAAGACTCACTTGAACGATCTATAACCTCAGGCTGCGCTAGTTTAGCTTTATCGGGTGACATTGTCGACAACCTAATAACACCAAACCCTGCAACCTTCAGCTGCCCTCCAAAATCCAGCAAAATATTTCTGGCACCTTACCCAAATTGCAAATATTAAAAAGAGCGTACTTATTGATAACAGTCCTCTTAAGTTTAGAAATATCGATAATAATAACATAAAATAATACAGATAATCTGATAAACTTAAGCATTTAGTTGCCTTACTTTGGCTTTAAATCACAATGTATGATTGGTTCAGGCTTGCATTCGTGTAGATAATTCATGCCCCTGTGTAGGAAAAAAATAAATAAATTGTCTGAAATTTCAGAATATTACATATATGGATTTAAACGGGGAAATGAAACAGAAAAAGAAAAAAATGAAAGGAGATTTTGAAAATGGTAATTACCTTGCGATTTCAAGAGCAAATCTTAATGCTTTAGATGGGGACAGGCGCCCTTTTTTCTGAAGATAACTAGCAAGGTCGCCCTGAAAATTTACAGTACGATAAGCAAAGTGAACCGATACATATTCTCTCAAATTTATATTCATCCCCTCCTCCATAAGGAGATTACATGAAATGTACACAGTCAAAAATACATAAATAGAAAAAATAGGTCGATAAATAGACAGAGAGAGATGATTACTTTTGAATGATACTCCAAAACAATCATCATAGGAATATTTTGGGTGACAGCACCAATGAATTGAACGACGTTAGGGTGCCGAACCTTTTCTAACACAGTCAACTCATGCCTGAATACATTTCTGCAGTGAAAAATATTAAATTAGTCAAGTTCGTATGAGAAGGACAAAAATCAAATAGCTCGACTACAACAAAGAAAAAAAAAATATGATTGATAAAAAATCAATGTCGTTCCACTGCCCCGTATGAACTCCGATACCAATATAAAGAAAGTACACTAAACGGTTTCCAGATGTCATTTTTCAAAGGTTTATATCAAGCAATGAGACGAGGTTAACTAATATACGCCAAGCTGGCAAAGTAAGGATTCCAATGCTGTGCTACCATGGAAGATAAAAAGGTACGTCGTATATGATAACAAGTAAGCAATATAAGTTTGAGTAAAGAAAATAGCTGGACAGAAGCAGCATATACATAGATTCGGAGTCTGCATGGCCGTCCTTGTCAAGTATCTTTACAGAAACTTTTGTTCCATTCCATTTAGCAACTTGGTAAGATCCCTATCCACAAATATCGCACACTAAATGTTAGTACATGTAACTAATTGTAGTAAGATATGCAAATACAATTAATGACGTAAATATGTGGATATTATGCAGCACATTAAAGACTTTTAGCTGTCTTAGACGCACTATGATGATAGAAATAATTTTCACACGGCATAGAACATACCTTAGAGATGCCATCACTTCGCCGTATGTGAATATCCAATGGATTGAGCTCGTACTCTGGAACTTCACGAGGATTTGCAACTGTCATTGGCGTCTTTCTGGTTTTCTAGGAATATGACAAAAAATTCTGTGAGTGTCCATTAACGAAGAAAGAAGCTTCCGCAAATAGAAAATCACACTTACCGGAACTTTTGCCCCACGAGCCTTCAAAATATTATAAACATCAATATTTCCATAATATTTGGCATCAGCAGCTGCCTGTCATGTCAAGAAATCTATCAGAATAAATACGAGACCTCTATTTCCAAATTCCTAAAGACGAGTACCTAATACATCAATTACTAGAAGTTCATAGAGTAAGACTGGAATCATCCGTGACACAAGAGCAAAGCAAAAACAAACAATGTTTGAATATCATTGACCAGCTTAACAGCTTATGAGGAAATCGGACTCAAAGCACTTTACACCTTTTTGTTATTTTCAAGAAATTCATGATGATTTTTACCATTGAAGACGGCAATTAATCAGAAACACCAAACAACTGGACATAAAACACCAAATATGCCAATTACTATAAATGCCACAACAATTGGCTTATTCAAAAAAGGCAGAGTAACATATTCAAGTTTTCCGGCCACTTCTTGCAACAAAACAACGAAAACATACACAACTAATATAGCAAAAAAAATGCAAAAATCAACCAATAACAAACTACAAAGAAAAAAAAAGAAAGGCAAAAAAACAAGTACTATATACCGTGCTGCCCCATCGATCACGAGCATCAATATTGGCTTTCTTGCTCAACAAAAGCTTGGCAACCTCCACGTGCCCCTCACATGCTGCAATGTGCAAGGCAGTCCTCCCATCCAAATCAATGCTGTTCACATCAATCCCTTCATCAAGCAAGTCCTCCACCCCTCCCACATCACCCTGGCAAGCCATGAACAGCAGCTGCATTGTGGAATCGAGATTGTCCGGCACAGTCAGCACTTCGTCGGAGCCCTCGTCCACCACCGGTGTCCGCCTGATGGGGTCCAACGAGGACTGCCGGCCGAAGCTGAACCGAAAATTGTTCCGCCTCGGGTCCATTGAATTCTGGCGCCGGAAACTGAATCTCCCGCTCTTCCTCAACGAACCCGTCGAGAACTGGCGTGATATTCCACGCTTCAATTGCGATGCCACGTCCATTTATTTCCCCCCCCCTCCCTGCCCACAATTTCGCCTCTCCACCTTCACAAAATCAGGGCTCACCGGCTCAAGCAAAAAATAAAAATAAAAAAATTGCTTAGCCTCCTGTTAGTCAAAATGGATTCATTCGGCGCTTATCCTCCGAAACCAACTTCAATTTCTCAGAATTCAGAAGAATTACTGAAAATCAAAGCCCAACGAGAGAATCGCTTCCCAAACAACACATAACCGGCAAAAAATCAGGGCAAGGAAAATGTATTTCAGAACAGAAAAAACCAAAAATAAAAAATTAAATCCTCAGGAAGTGGAATCAAACTATTTTGTTGATAAATTTCAACCGTTTGTTGCCTCTGAAAAAAAATATATTATCGTATAAAATTAATTAGGATATAGCTGTGCAATTTTGGCGAATTCAATCGTAATTTTCGAGAGCTGAGAGAACAGAGCTCTCGAAGCAAACGGAAAAAAGAATGAATCAAATGAACAAAAAAAAAAAGGAATGGATCTGAGTGAGAGTGGAAGGAAGAGGAAACGGAGCACAATTGAAGGAGAGAGTATGAAATGAAGAGAGGAGAATTTGCATGTTTTTTATTCCACTAAATTAACCGGAAAATACGTTTGCCACTTGTGTTTACCGACCTTATTTATTTATTTTTATTTTTTTGTTTTGGCTAAATTATACATACACCCCTTAGGTATGCTAAAATAACTTTAAGGTCCATATAGTATTGATAATTACATCCACACCCCTGAAACAATTACCAGAGGCAATATTTCATGTCCTGGGGACCGATATGCACTATATTTGTTTTCTGCGGGGCCGATAATGCTACCATAGACGAATATTTATAAATCTTATATCAAATAATAAAGATTTAAGAAATGTTAGGAAAATCATGTCACCCCTTAGCTCTATGATGTTTCCACCATTGAAACTAATAGTCTTTTAGAACTCTAACGGAATAACTTATACAATGCATTATTCCGTTACGGTTTCTAACAATACTTTAGGGTGGAATTTGTAATTATTGAGACTACATGGACCTTAAAGTTATTTTAGCTTACCTGAGGTGTGTAGGTGTAATTTACTCTAATGGACTAGGAATGGGCAAAGCCACGTGGTCACAGCTAATTATTGGCCAATTGGTGAACAAAAAAATAAATGAAAAGTAGTAATATGTTATGTATAATTTATTGTTTTAAAACTGAAATAATTAATATTTCGTTTACTCGTCTTTGTTTCATTATAATTATAAAAGTCAAAGTCAAGTCAATACACTATAAATATGTATTTTGCAGTTATATCCTGAAATAATGTACAAGTGTGTGTGACGTGGGGCCATGAGAAGTAACTATCGTCCTATCGGAACTATATCATTAATTTGGATTTTATGGTTAAAGAAACAGTCAAACTATCATCACAGCCACTCATTGTGCAAATTGATTGCATAAAACAATTGTTTTATTTGGCAAATGGCCCTCCTTGCCAATCTACTTTACTTCATTTTGTCGGTAGCTTATTTTATTTTTTACACTTGTAAAATATAATAATAATAATAATAATAATAATAATAATAGTAATATAATAAAAATAATATTTTTGTGAAGATGGAGAGAGAAAACCAAAAAAAATGAAAAAAAAATTAAGTTACGGTCAGTCCTACGGTATGATCAAATTATAAAAAAAACTCTCATGTTTGGATAATTACAACCACCTCCATCAACTATGAATGGTCTTACACGTTAAACCTTGCGGTGTCAAATTTAGTGGAATCTTCTAAATATGTGTAATATTCTTCAATTTGAACCCGTTTTATCCCATCCAGCTCCACATTTTGAAACAAAATTATCATGAGATGTGTTTCTTAGCTTGTAAATATCAGATTGTGGTGCATCAGAAATTGTATTTTTGCACAAAACGAGTACAAACTAGAGAACATTCCACGAAATCTTGAAAATTATGTTCAATTTGACACCATAAGGATGGACGTGTAAGAAGACTCATAGTTAAGGGACGTGGTTGTAATTACTCAAACAAGAGGGGTCTTTTTCTTAATTTGCCATACCTCAGGGGTTAACCGTAATTTACCCAAAAAAAAAAAGAGAGGAAGAGGTGAAAACCCTACGAAAATTCGGGGGATTTACCGTCAAGAATTGGACTGGGCCGTAGGTCATCTGGAATATATTGGGCCGGTTTGGATCTGGGGAAACTAAATGGGTTTGTGAAATCAAATTATAACCCGACCCGTTTCATTCACGAAGCAGACCGTTGACCTCGCTTTCCGGAATGAAATGGCAATTTACACACACACACACACACACACACACAAACACACACTTCCGATGGCGGCTGTTTCAACTCACTCCACACTATTTCACGAACTCAAAACCTCGCGCAACCTCGTTCACAAAAGTGACGTCAGCAGCCTTTGCTCTGTAAAATTCCGATCGAGCCCCAACAGAGGAGTTGCGGTTTGTCCTCAGAGTACAGATGACGATCACAAGCGCCACGACGACGCCGTTTTGTCAGTTCCGGAATCTAGTTTTACCGCCTCCGCCGCCAGTTCATCAGCCGATCCTAAGTACGTGGCGATCACTCTGTTTTTTAATTTTTTTATTTGCTTACTAATTTGTACATGTTAATGTTAATATCAAGGCTTTTGTTGTCAGAATTGAAATTGAGGAGATGAATCATTGTCAAATATCTACTGAATTTTATATGATTAGGGGAAAATAAGGAATATGTAGCAAGTGTAAAATTAGCTAGAACAGTGCTGCACTTCTTAAGTTTCCCCAATAGTTTCCATGGTGGTTTTTTCTAATATTTTTCAAAGTTGATGACAATTCTGTTACATCTTGCTTTTTGACATGAATTTTAAGTTCTACTTTGTTACCCTGCATATAATTATGCTCGAAAAAAATTGCGTATAATCCTGATACTTCTTGTTTCAAAAATAATTAAAAGCAGGCGTTGGTCCCGTATGTGGTGTAAGTCTGTGTAGCCATTTTGAAGACGGAGATTTGTTTATCTCTTGCCGTATTTATTATTTAATTTATATATCTATAGATTCGTTTTATTTATTTTTATGAACTTCAGTTATCCTTGCCAGACTTATCTGATAAATTTCATGATTGGCATGACTGAACCAGGGTGAAGCGACACACTGTTTCAGTGTTTGTTGGTGATGAAAGTGGAATGATAAATCGAATCGCTGGAGTTTTTGCCAGGAGAGGATATAACATTGAATCCCTTGCAGTGGGACTGAACAAGGATAAGGCTCTCTTTACTATAGTTGTATCTGGAACTGAGAAGGTGATACAACAAGTTATGGAACAACTCAAGAAGCTTGTGAATGTATTAAAGGTCTGGTCTAATGCTTATCTTACAGATACGACTTACAAGTTTCAATCTACTTGTGTACTGTTTCAGATATGACTGCCGCGTTTATTTTCTTTGCAGCATTTTCATCTCATCACATATACGTTCTAAATTTTTACTCTTAATACTTGAATTGTTTCATTGGAAGTGGTTTCTAACTCTTGGTCAAACTTGGGAACCAGGTTGAAGACATCTCAAAGGAGCCACAAGTGGAACGGGAATTAATGCTCATCAAAATCAATGCGGATCCACAACATCGAGCAGAGGTATTCTTTGGATGCCAATTTTTCATTTCTGCTTTTACATTATTCTTTTTATGGTATATTGTGATATTAATTGTATTACTTATTTGATCTGAGCCTGGCAAATTGTATATACCTTGTACTTGGTCCAGTATTGTGATAAATTTTCAATGTTTTGTTTTAGCCACATCATGTTCATCTTGTTGTGTGGTTAACATATATCATTATTTTTGTTTTAATTTCCAGGTGATGTGGTTAATGGACATTTTTAGGGCACAAATTGTGGACACCTCTGATCACTCCCTAACCATTGAGGTGATGGCTAATGCTAGTTCTGCAAGTATATTTGTATTACTCAATATGTTTTTATGCAAGGTTCAATAATTGCAAGTTACAGCAGGGAAGCATCTACCATATGTCCATATTGGTAGTATGTGAAGCCCTTTTCGCATAGTATAATATTTATGTTATAACAACTGGTTCTTGTTAAGTTAACAGCGGGGATATGATCATTTTGAATTCCTTCAGCTTAGCCTCTCAGGGTTGAATGGAAATTCTACTTTCCTCCATCCTTAAAATGGGTAGCGGCTAATTGCATAGCCATTTCTTGTTAAAATCTATCTAAGTTGATCCTCTCAGATATTTGTTTCTACATGGTTAATTTGAAAGATGAGGGTGTGGCTTTATATATTTGGTTGTGTCTGCTAGTAGTTGCCATTATCTGATTTTTTTCATATGTTTATAGGTAACAGGAGATCCAGGGAAGATGGTTGCAGTGCAAAGGAATTTAAGTAAATTTGGAATCAGAGAGATTGCCAGGACTGGGAAAGTAAATATACTGAGAAATAATGTCTTTGTTTGGATTTGGTTTTAGGAAAGGTGTTCTGTAGAAATGTATTAGGGAATGTATATTGTGTTTGGTTTTATGTGAAAATGTTTGAAGTGAATGAATAGGGTTGATTTGTCGGGAAAGGGTATGGGCCAATGGTATGTTTGGTTTTATTGTGGGGGCAATGAAAACGGAAGTTGGAAAAACCAACAAACAAAAATAGCTAGTATGAGAGTTTGTTTTTGCACATTCTCCCCTTTTCCTGTGTAATTTGGTATTTTTTGATGGTTCTGTCTAGATTGCCTTGAGAAGAGAAAAGATGGGGGAATCTGCTCCCTTTTGGCGGTTCTCAGCCTCTTCATATCCAGATCTTGAAGCAGCAGTGCCTTTTGATAGTGTTTCAAGGGCTGTGACAACTCATGCGGGAGAATTTGAATCATCTGTCGGGGTATGCTAGTTCATTAGTTCCAATTATGAAAGAATAAGATGCACTGACTTTGTTAATATTTTGCTCATGAAAATTGTAGATGCACTGATTAAGATTAAGATGTCTTGAATATTGTTTTATCATTCTCGTAGGGTTTCAAAGCTTGGATTTTAGAACTCTGAAGCTTTATGTGATTATTCATTCGAGCAATGTTTGCATTATAATTATAAGTTCATGACACAGGTTATAAAAAACCCTTTTGTTTCTCCTGATTTCAAGTTTTCGAATTTTCAACTAAAGGGTGGTTATCCTCTATTCTTTGTTCAAAATTATGATCTCTTGTGGCTCCAAATGAGTTTTTCTTTCAGTTATGTATCATTATAGTTTTTATTTTTGAATCATTAATATTAGAATATCTCTGTCGACAATAAAATAGTTTCAGAGGATCATGCAATGGAATGACGGTAGGTGCATAATAGACGAGCGCCTCTAGATGATCTACTTTTGAATGATATAATTTCCTTATTGTATGAAGGGAGATGTTTACCCAGTGGAAAGAGCTGATGAAATTTCTTTCAATCAAGTCCTTGATGCTCATTGGGGCGTGCTGAATGAAGAAGATGTAAGAACTTGCCATCTATGTTGTTGTTAACATTACTGTTTCAACTTAGTGTTGTTGATAAGTGTTTCAAGTTAGTTTTATTTTCTCCCAGAATGTAGTAGCCGTCTTAACAGCTATGTGATGTATGCATTACAAGGATTTGTTGAGTTGAGATACAGATTAGCTTAGCATGCATGGTCGATCTCTAAAGATATGGATTACATGTCTGTAAAAAAAAATTCTCCTTTGTATTTCATCAAGATTTGTCCTTGTTAGCTATTCTGAGTTCTGGAAAAAAATCACTACCTGTTTTGAGGTCTTGCAATTGGTTAATTTTTTTTTCTTCGAAGCTTGCAGACAAGCGGGCTTCGGTCTCACACTCTTTCGATGCTTGTTAATGATGCTCCTGGAGTCCTTAACCTCGTCACAGGGGTTTTTGCTCGAAGAGGATATAACATTCAAGTAAGTATAATATTGTATCTTTCACAATGTTTTTGATAACTTCTATGTTGCTCCTTTTGAGTTTTCGAACTGATGACATCGGTTCGTTTCTGTGTTTGTTTGTATGTTAGAGTTTAGCTGTTGGTCATGCTGAAATTGAGGGGCTCTCTCGAATTACTACTGTTGTTCCTGGTACAGATGAATCTATTAGCAAGTTGCTACAGCAACTCCGTAAGTTGAATGATCTTCATGAGGTGAGAGCATAAATACATTCTCATAGTTTGGTAATATCTCAGAATGTTCAACTCCTTGAGTGGATAAAGGGCTCAGTCATTGACAAGCTATATATCTTGCTCCTGAACCACTAAAGTGACTATATAATCTTTTAGGTTCGGGATTTCACGCACTTGCCTTTTGCGGAGCGAGAATTGATGTTAATAAAAATTGCTGTCAATGCTGCTGCTCGGCGCAATGTTCTTGATATTGCTAGCATATTTAGAGCCAAAGCTGTTGATGTCTCTGATCACACTATAACTCTCGAGGTAAAGTCTTATATAATTAACATGCATATAGCAGCTTAACTCTGATCAAATATTCAACGACTATCACTATTTTCAGTAGTTGAGCACTAATCTACATATTATTTTTTAAATCAAGTTGCAGAATTGTTTTTCTCGAGTATATTGTTTGTTTGCCATTAGTTAGTTCTACTCTTCATTTACTTCTTTAAATAGTGTGTGCTGTATCTCTTTTACTTTGTTGACTTTTCTTTTGGTGCATTTTCCAGCTCACTGGAGATCTAGACAAGATGATTGCCTTGCAAAGATTGTTGGAACCTTACGGCATTTGTGAGGTACACTGTCCGTTTATCATGTTAAGTTATTTATTTTGTGTGCCTAGCCACTTAGTTTGCGTGATTTAGTTAGGTGATTCGAGAAATTCACATCTCCAACTTCTCCTAGTGTTATCTTACCACTGGTTGATATGTTCACTTAACAAAAGATACTGTACCGATAGATGTCTTTTAATAACTCTACAAACTTCCGGATAACCCTTTCGAGAGAGAAACTCAGTTACTTGCTACTTTACTATTGCAGGTGGCTCGAACTGGCAGAGTGGCTCTAGTAAGGGAGTCTGGTGTCGATTCAAGGTACCTCCGCGGATACTCGTATCCACTGTAATTTAGGGCCTATATATATATATGCGTGTGTGCATATATGTATATATATTCTGTTAATTATTCATTTTCCATTACATTCTGTTATTTGGATGACAGAAGACAAAACACAATTGTAAAATAAAAAAGAAAACAGAACAGAAGATTTGAACCCAACAGACACATGTTTAGTACACATTACATGGATTCCACTATCTCTGCACAATTGCATGTAACAAAAGGGCATTATAGTCTATTCACGAGCAACGACGACAACTTGCTTCCCAACATTGCGGCCGGAGAAGAGCCCCACCAGAGCAGCCGGTGCACTCTCAAGGCCTTCAGCTATGTCTTCAACATAAGTAATCTTGCCTTGTTTGATTAGTGGCAAAACCATCTCCAGAAACTTCGGATAAAGATGGTAATAATCAGGAACCAGAAACCCTTGCATCCGAACACGTTTGCTGATGAGGCAAAACAAGTTACGCACACCTTCGGGCTCTTCAAGATTGTACTGTGAGATCATGCCGCACACCGCAATCCTACCGTGGACCCTCATGTTGAGGAGCACCGCGTCGAGCATTTTCCCTCCCACGTTTTCAAAGTATATGTCGATCCCATCAGGAAAGTACCTACGCATAAAACCAACATTTGTTGAGCATTTTTTTCCATGTGTCGAAAGAAACAAAAATTATGCACGACGTTTTAGGCTTTCTTGAAAAGACTTATAAAACCTTTTCAAAGCTGCATCCAAATCGGGCTCTTCTTTGTAGTTAAACGCGTCGTCGAACCCGAATTTGTTCTTCAAGAGATCCACCTTCATCGAATAATTAAATAAGTAAACACAAAAGATCTCTAGTAGATAATTGAATACTAGAGATGTACACATAACATAACATAAACCTTTTCTTTGCTTCCGGCACTTCCAACAACGTAACACCCCAAGAGCTTTGCAAATTGACCGACAAGTTGACCAACAGCTCCAGATGCAGCAGATATAAACACAGTTTCTCCTTTCTTCGGAGAGCAAACCTCGTAAAAACCACTGTAGGCAGTAGTGCCAGCCATACCTTCATTGTTTCAGACACTAAATTGTATTACACAGGCAACCAATTTGGAAAGAAATATATAAAAATATGTGATCCCATTCTATTCAAACATCGCCTAACGGATTTTTCTTATTCATTTTTAGATCGTAATTCGTACATAGATGTACTAATAGTATAGAGAGAAAGTACTGAAGCAAGTTTATTACCAAGAAGTCCAGTGTAATAGGAGAGAGGTACATCATCTGTATAGTGAATCTTGAAAAGACCCTGTGTGGATTTAAGAAGGGTATATTCTTCCCACCCAGTTATGCCCCAAATCAAATCACCATTCTTGAAATTAGGGTTTGAAGAATCCACAACTCTGCCCACTCCATATCCAGTTATAGCCTGTTTAATTAATAATACACAGTTATAATATACATACAATTCATTGTTATGTTGTGTACATCGTGCATCAAAAGTAGCACCTTCAACAATATATATATATATATATATATATATATTTTAATTTTAAAATTCTATGCTCGAAACGTGAAGAAAATCCCAATTAAAATAGCTAGCATGAAAAATGTGGAGGAAAAGAGCGAGCGAGTGAGCGACTCACCGAGCCAGGTGTGAACGAGTCAACATAGCTGCCTTCGGATTTGCTCATACGGTTTCGCATGTAAGGGTCGCAGGACAAGTAGAGATTCTTCACCAAAACGGCGTCGTTGCTATTATCTTCCGGCACCTTCAGTTTAATGGATGAGGTTTTCAGAATCATATCCGATTCTTTCGGAGAACCCTTTACGTATTCCTTCAGTATTATCTGCTTGTTGCTCACTTCTTCTGCCATTTTTTTTCTCTGCTTTCAGATTTTTCTTTCAGTATATCTGTGTAGCGTTCGAAGGAAGCTCTGGTTTTTTCTTGTTTGGATGTGTGATGAAATATTGAAATGTGAATCAAGCGATATATTCGAGAGAGATATTTTTAGTACTTGTGTTTTTTTTTTCTTTCTAATTAATTTTATCTTTTTTTATTAATTTATTTATTCTGATATAAACAATAAAAAATGCTACACGTATAACTAAATATAGCTTTTTGTAATTTTTTTAAAGTATTATAAAAATTGTGATATAAAGAAAAAATATAGATGAATTTAGAATATGAAAATCTATTATTATCCATGTTTCAATTTTATCTCATGTATTTGTCTTCTATCTTACAATTATAATTTTTTTTATCTAAAATGTAATTGAATTATTTTTTTAGTTTTATCCTTTTTTTTTTTTTCAGTTTGCGTGTATTCTTTATATTTGATATCCTCATTAAAAACAAAAGTTTAAATTAGGTAACCCTCCAGGCAAGGTCAAATTACAAAATACCCCATTGTCTTTACGTAATTACAACTAACTCTATCAACTATATAAATTTTCCTACACGTCCATCTTAAGTTAAAGAACTAGAGAACATTCCACGTAATCTAGAAGATTCTTTGAATTTGACACAATAAGAATGAACATGTTAGAAGATTCATAATTAAGGGGTGGTTGTAATTATTCAAAGTCCAAATATATATATTTTTTCATAATTTAACCTTACGTCAGAGGATGGCCGTAATTTACCCTGAAAAATGGAAGAAGGCGAAGACGATGACAAGCAATTTTGGACGCATATTAATTATTGTATAATAGAACAGAAAATTTTGAAACAGAACAAACACCATCATTAGGTAACACCAACAAATTAACCTGTCTTTTTATTACATAAAATTCAACTACATATTCATAACAAACACAAACAACATGTAAACCTAGTCACGAGCAACCACCACCAACTGCTTCCCGACATTCCGGCCGGAGAAGAGCCCGACCAGAGCCGCCGGCGCACTCTCGAGGCCTTCAGCTACGTCCTCGACATAACTAATCTTGCCTTGTTTGATTAGTGGCAAAACCATCTCCAAATACTTTGGATAAAGATGGTAATAATCGAAAACGAGAAACCCTTCCATACGGATACGTTTCGTGATTAGGCAAAACAAGTTACTCACACCTTCCGGCTGTTCGAGATTGTACTGCGAGATCATACCGCACACCGCGATCCTACCGTGCACCCTCATGTTGAGGAGCACCGCCTCGAGCATTTTCCCTCCCACATTTTCAAAGTATACGTCGATCCCATCCGGAAAGTACCTACATGCATAAAACCAACATTTGTCGCGCATATTTTTTCCAAGTGTCAAAAAAAAAAAAAAAACAATTATGCACGACTTCTTGAAAAGACTTATATAACCTTTTCAAAGCTGCATTCAAATCGGGTTCTTCCTTGTAGTTAAACGCGTCATCGAACCCGAACTTGTTCTTCAAAAGATCCACCTTCATCGAATAATTAATTAAGTAAATAAAAATTGTATATAGTATGTTATTGAAATTAAAAGAATAGATTTATGAATATAGATATATAGCAAAAAAAAAAACCTTTTCTTTGGTTCCTGCACTTCCAACAACATAGCAACCCAAGAGCTTTGCAAATTGACCAACGAGTTGACCAACGGCTCCGGACGCAGCAGATATAAACACGGTTTCTCCTTTTTTCGGAGAGCAAACCTCGTAAAACCCGCAGTAAGCAGTAGTGCCAGCCATACCTTAGTTAATCCACAGAATTCAGACAGTCAACCAATTATAGTGAATAGCCGATCATCGATCATCGATCATACTCAGGCTTAACATGTACAGTTAAACTTCTATAAATTAATACAATCGGGACTAATAAAATTCTATTAATTCAGCGAAATATTAAATTATCGAACTAACGATTTAGTACGGTTTTTACCGAGACGGGACCGAAATAAATTACTATTTAAGCGAGGTTGGCTCTAATGTACTATGTATATATAGATGTAGAGAGAGAAAGTAATGAAGCAAATAGTTAATTACCAAGAAGTCCAGTGTAGTAAGAGAGAGGTACACCATCTGTATGGTGAATCTTGAAAAGACGCTGTGTGGATTTAATTAGGGAATATTCTTCCCATCCAGTTATGCCCCAAATCAAATCACCAATTTTGAAATTAGGGTTTGAAGAATCGACAACCCTCCCCACTCCATATCCTGTTATAGCCTGTTTAATTAATTAATACAAACAGTTATAATATATGTTGTACATCGTGCATCAAAAGTAGTACCTTCAACAACATCCATTAAAATAATCCAAACCCAGAATTGCGCATGCAAAAAAAGAAAAAAAATATGTGGAGAAAAAGAGCGAGCGAGTGAGCGACTCACCGATCCAGGGGTGAACGAGTCAACATAGCTGCCGACGATATTGCTCATACGGCTACGCATGTAAGGGTCGCAGGAAAGGTAAAGATTCTTCACCAAAACGGCGTCGTTGCAATCATCTTCCGGGATCTTGAGTTTGATGGTTGAGGTTTTCAGAATCATGTCCGATTCTTTCGGAAACCCTTTTACGTATTCTTTCAGTATTATCTGCTTGTTGCTTACTTCCTCCCCCATTTTTTTTTTCTTTCTTTTTTTCTGCTCTGTTTAGTGTGTGTGTGTGGGAATATAATGTGTATGAGTGTGTGTATGTATATAGTGAATGTGTGAATTAAGGTGGCGTTGGATATGTCATATGTGAATCGTGATTAATGCGATATATATATGTATACCCGCGATTTTCGGCATCAAAATGATTGTGTCTGTGTGCTGTAGTATTATGGAAGTACGATTTGCAGATAGTTTTTGAAAAGGTTTGGTTCACATAAATAAATACACACGGAATAAACAATGAAGATTGAACAGATTTTAAGCATTAAAATTGTACTATATGCTTTTGGGCCGGGCCATAGGAAAAAAATGATCCTGACAAACTTTTCAAGCCCGGCCCAAATTATCAAATTCGTATAACCTTATTTTACTTTTTATATAATCATAACTAACACTTTTTCCCCGTTCAATGCATGGAATATTATTTGAAAAGTGAAAAAAAAATAACCAGTTTAATACATAATAAAAAAATATAGTACATAGTAATCTTTTTAAATATTGCATATTAAGATTTGAGATATATTAATGAAAAATAGGAGATTGATAATTGTTAAAAATTATAGTAAAAAAATATTTTAAAAATAAATAATTACAGAAACACCATTAGAGTTTTTTAGGATTACCCAGTGTTTCTTTCTTTTATATATAAGATTGAGGATTATTACTACCTAATTAATGTTTGGCATTATAACATTGGATCAAAGAAGTATTGTTTACCCCATAATTTTCTGATTTTTATTTTATTTGAGCTCTTATATAGAAAAAAAGTGGAATTGCTAGGGGACACACACACACAGTGAATATCCAAAAAGAATGTTAAATACATTGTTTGCGTGTATATATAAATATACATTCGACTTGGTTAAATGGATATCATCCAAAGTCAAAATAGGGTTCGTTAAATGCCATTACTTAAATCATATCTACTGTTAATAATAGATATTACTTTTTTAAAGCAAATTTTAGAAATTTGAGTTTAAATTTATTTATTTTGACCACTAATTAACTATCGAATGAAGTTTTATCGTTCACCGGGACTTCGGATGACAGCTCCCCCATCATCAGGGTCACCAATTTCCTTGACCTTCCGGCACAGGCGTCAACCCCTATATATGACACTATGAGAGTTGGTACTTAATCTTTAATCAGCATATCAGAAGTCAAATAATGCTAATTTTGTATTGCCCAAAGAAATCGGATATCCATATTCACATGTCCCTTATAGTACCACAAAATGTTCAAGAAAATTATGGATCTTGTTATATATTCACCTGAAATTATTATTTCAATTATATATTATTATATGATCATATAGTAAAAAGAATGAATGCACGTTCCCCTGTTTTAGGGATCCCTTGTTTGTGGCAGTGATTTCTTTTGGCTTATTTTTTTGAGGATTGCATGTGGCTTATTTGACCTTCAATATTAATCCTAATTATATTTCAGGAAAATTAGATGTTACATCTATTTATTTATACTGACTGGATTTTAACTATAAATCTACACATAATGACACGCACCCATGTATTATATGTGTGCTAATGGTTAGTTATATAATCAATTATACAGTGCAAATCCACACGGCGGGTGTAAATATTTTAGATATCATTTGACCTAATTAAAATTATGCTTTAATCAATTAATCGAAGCACATGCTTATTAGCAAGAACGTTGAACCTTAATACATGCATGCCTTGATTTAATTTTCTTAATAACTACTAGAATGTTGATTTAACCCCTTAAACCCAGTAATTTTCAGTAATTAATAAGATGGATCGATTTGAAAAAAAAGTTGACAATTTCACCCCCTTAATCCAGTAGTAATTCACTCCGTAAATCCGGTAATATAGTAAAGTATTGTGAACACAAACTTCTATTTAGGGTTTACGCAACACATGCACAAAAAACACAACAGTTTTTTTCAGTTGTAACATAATCAATTTGACTAATGGCACCCCATTTTAAGCCTATAAATACCCCTTAATTACCCATTAATTACAACACAAATCATACACTAATACAAAAAAAAAAAAAAAAAATGGCTGCCAAAACAAATATCCAAATTTTCATCCTCATAATTACAATACAACTCTTCTACTATCCATCATCATCGCTCGCAGCGAACCCTACGTACAATGTTCAGTCGTTCGGAGCTAAATCCGGCGGAAGCTCCGACTGCACAAAGGCTTTTCTAAGTGCATGGGGGGCCGCATGTGCCGCCACGTCTCCGGCAACTATATACGTGCCACCTGGAAGGTACCTCCTCCGAAACGCATACTTCGGAGGTAAACTATGCAAAAATTCAGCCATAACTATACGTATAGACGGTACCCTAGTAGCTCCATCCGACTACAACGCACTTGCTAAAACCGAGAACTGGTTGACTTCGAAAGGGTCGCCGGAGTTCCATCTTCGGCGGAACCCTAGACGCACAAGGCACCAAATTGTGGGCTTGCAAGAACTCCGGCAAGAGCTGCCCTAAAGGAGCTACAGTATGAAACTAAAATATTTTCTTTAATTTTAACATTAATTATTTTCATATAATTTATTTTTATTTGTTTTTATTTTATATCGCAGTCGTTGGCGTTCTACAATTCGGAGAATATAGAGATAAATGGATTAGCCTCGTTGAACAGCCAGAAGTTTCATATTCTTGTCGACGGATGCAAAAGCGTGAAGATGATTAATATGAAAATCTCAGCTCCGGCGAACAGCCCAAACACCGACGGCATCCACATACAGCAGTCATCGGAAGTTACCGTTATGAACACTCACATCGGCACCGGAGACGACTGCATCTCCGTGGGCCCCGGATCTTCCAACTTGTGGATCGAAAACCTCGCCTGTGGGCCCGGCCACGGAATAAGGTACCGTCAACATACATACATACACATATATATGTATAATATAATGTATTAAATTTTTTTTATGTTTTTTTTTGTATGGAAGTATTGGAAGTTTAGGGTGGGATTTGGAAGAAGCGGGAGTGCAAAACGTGACAGTTAAAACGGTTACATTCACCGGAACGGAAAACGGCGTGAGAGTGAAGACGTGGGCGAGGCCGAGCAACGGGTTCGTTAAAAACGTGCTTTTCCAGCATCTTGTTGTCGTTAACGTCGAAAACCCGATTATTATCGACCAAAATTACTGCCCCGACCACCAAAATTGTCCTACTCAGGTATATAAAAAAGTTAAAAAAACAACTAAAAAAAAAATAATATTAATACTAATTAACAGTAGTTGTTGTGGGATTATATATTGGTTTTGTTACTACAGGGGTCGGGGGTGAAGATAAGTGACGTGGCATATGAAGATATACATGGAACATCAGCTACACAAGTAGCAGTGAAATTTGACTGCAGTAAAAAGAACCCGTGCAGTGGAATTACGTTGGATGGGGTTAATTTAAGTTACAGAGATAAAGCAGCTACTGCTTCTTGTGCTAACGCTGCCGGGTCGGCTGCCGGTGTTGTCCGGCCGACCAGTTGCTTATAAAGGAATTAAATTAAAATAAAATAATATATATCCATATAAATATAAAAGTGTGAAAATTGAATATATAGGAAAATAAATATAATTAATTAGGCATCTTGATTGATTAGATCTCAGCTGCCAAAGCCCGGCGTTACTCCTGCCGCATTTTATGTTTTGGGATGTTTTTATTAATATATATAGCGACTTTGGTTTGCAATGAATTAAAGTCGTGTTTGGTTGTTTAAAGCTATAATGTGACCTGAATTGTCAAATTATATTAGCATGGGCAAATTACCGCCACCGCCTGAAGTATGCTGAAATTACGAAAAAAACCCTCTTATATTTGGGTAATTATAAACTACCTCTCAACTATGTATTGTCTTATATGGGAATGTCCCACTCCCACCCTTGTGAATGAAATTCTTTTTTCGTAAAACAATACATAGTTAAGGAACATAAAAGATTTTTTTGTAATTTGAAGACTTGCCGTAATTTGGCCTATTAACATTGATAGTAATGGGTACCCATTTTTTTTTTTAAACCAAGCACTCCACTTTTAACTTTATTGAACTTTTAATTACTTCTTTCCAGTTTTCGCTTAAAAAGAGATATATTGATTAATATATGCAATTGGGGATAAATGTTAAGTTGAAATAATATATTCATGAAGTCAGTAATATATATAAAGTAGTTATTCACATGCAAATTCATGTACTAATGTGCTTTTGAATTTATAGTTGACTTGCAAGCAAGTATATAAGAAAATAAAAAATATAATAAATTAATTAATTAATGGCTCTTATAAGTTTGTAACATGCATAATTGCGGCTGCACCATTATCCAATGTCCTTTACAACATCATTGGCATGTTATCGATCAGCAGCACAAATATTTTTAATATTAATTACTCCATCTGTTCCACAATAACGGTCTCTTTTTTAAAATACTTTTGTTTCATATTATCTATCACTTTAGATTTCCAATACTGCATTAAATGCATTTTTCATGTTTTAACCTTATTAATGAAACTCTAGTCATTAATTTTCTCTTATAAATCATTAAATAATAAAAGTTGTTTTATTCATTTTTATATGATTTTTCTAAAACCAAGATATATTTATTGAGTTTCTTAATCTTTGTAAAAATTGAAAAGAGACACTTATTTAGGAACGGAGGGAGTAACTAATATTAAATAATGAGTTCAAGTAATAATCAAGGTTATCTCGTACGTATATGATAATTAATGAACGAGCAAGATAACATTAATTAGCATGGTCTCATCCTAATATTATTGCAGTTGTTTATAAATGAGGATGACAATATAATTATGAGTAGCCAAGGCCGGTTCTGAGGGGAAGCGAAGTAGGCGGTCGCCTAGGGCCTCCGGAGTTTTTTTAAAAGTTTAGGGCCCCCAAATTTGTTCATACCCTTTATATATGAATATTTATTGAAAAAAGAATTATATTATATATATAATTATTGAGAAACTTAATTCATAAATATGTATAAATTAACAATTCTTACTTGTTTCTATAATTCTTCTAGTCAGGGGGCCGTAGTTATTAAATTTATAATGTATTAGTTATTTATTTTTATATATTTTCACCTGTTTTAGTGCTACTTCATGCAAATTATCTTAAAAAAATTCGGGGGTACTGCCCCCGTAAACTTTAATCCCATTTCTAGCCTTGGCACTGACTATATACCTTACAAGATCAAGTTAACATAGAGTTTATTACTTTTCTTGAAAAAAAAAAGTTTTATTGTAGATTATAAAAGGGCCCTATTTTTTAGCCGTCTTTAAATCTCGCCTAGGGCCCCCAAATTTTTAGGAACGCCCCTGTGAGTAGCTATGCATTATTCAAATTTGGATTTTTTTTAATATATAAGTAAATATAAATATGGGCAGTGTTCAGGGGTCTTTTATTAATTTTTGCAAAAAATGTCACGGAGTATTTTGGTCTTTTTTCTCGGCTGGTGAACCGGAAAAATGGTTTGCTATTTTTTTATGACAGGGGAAATAAAACAGTTGCGACTTTCACCGGAATACTAAATGCAATAAGGGTACTCAATAGTGTTTAAATAATATTAATGCTAAAATAATGATAATTATTAATATGAGGAAATGTGTGTATGTATGTATGACATAGGATATGAAAAGCATGGAAGTAATATTAGGAATTAGGGTATTGATTAACTTGTAATTAAAGCAAGTTAAGGGCACGACAGGAAAGAATGGCACCACTAAAGGCATGTCGTTTCAGCTGTTTCCTGTTTACGTTCTTGTCGTTTCCATTCCTATTTTATGCCTTTTTTCCTTCCCTTTTTTTCTCCATTTTATATTGGAATAGTAATAATAATTACAGTTATTCATGAGGTAAAGTTAAATTACGAAAAGAACGTTCATGTTTGGGTAATTACAACCATCTCAATATAATTATGAATTTTTTTGCACGTCCAACCTTATCGTGTCAAATTCAACCAAATCTTCTAAATTCCGTGGAATGTTCTCTAGTTGACGCAGAACGGAAGCACGGTAAAGAATTAATTTCTATGAATTAATCCTATCGAACAAAATAACATTCGGAATCCACCGAAAACTCTGGAATCCACTAGAAAAATAGAGAAAACTCTATGGATTTTATTAAATTTCGAAATTCTTCTCAAAATAAAGTCCTAAGGCAGCTATTTATACTAAAAAACTGAAAACCCTAATTAAACTAAGAAAATAATAAAAATTACCAAAAACGGCAAAAACGAGTTAGAGTCTGATTCTAGTAGATCTCGTAATTTTGGGAACAACCCAATTTACGGAATCCTAATCCGAATTTTCTATGATTTGATATTAATTTTCTAAAACTTACCTAAAATAGCAAAAACGAACTTTTGGGAGTCTAAACGACGTTAGATTGCTGAAATTTGACGTGATTCATGAGCTTTTCTCATGAGTTTTGTTCCTTGCGCCGTTTCACTTGAGATAGAGTTCGTTTAGTACTCAAATACAATTTGAGTTTTTCGAAAACCCTTACTTTGCCATAATTTCTTTCGATATTTCCACCAATGCCCATTAATAACTCTTCTCCGAATTAAATAGTTATTTTGCAAGTCGAATCCAATTTGATGTCCCTTATCACTAGTTTATATTCGTTTTGTGTAAAAATGCAGTTTAATTCTGATGCACCACAATCTAATGTTTACAAGCCAATTATAGACACATTTTATGATCATTTTGTTTCAAAATGTGAAGTTCGAATGTTGTAAAATGGAGAATATTCCACATAATTTACAAGATGCCACTAAATTTGTCACCGTAATGGTAAACATCTAAGAAGATTCATAGTTAAGGGAGATATAGTTAAGGGAGGTGATTGTAATTACCAATCATAAAAGTTTTTTTTTTCCGTAATTTAACTTTATCTCAGGGTTAACCGTAATTTAACCTATATCAGTGTCTACAAAACAAATTAAGTTCGAATATAACTCCTCTCAATGACTTGTACATTTTCAAACAAACAAATAAATAAATGCCAATTAATGTATATTTACTAGGTGGTGGAAAGCCATTCGACTTTAGAATTAGAAAAAAAAAAAAAAAAAACATGAATGCTTGAAAGCATCAATTTTAATTGGTGTATTGAAATTATGTCCGAAGCAAAGTCTGTTTTTTCTGTTATATGGATGACCTAAACAAAGTTTCAATCTTGATGCCACCTCCTCATTTTCTTGCTCGGATTGCTTAATTGGTCGATCAAATAATACCTTTTTTTTTCTTTTCAATTTAATTTAATTTTTCTTTTTCATTTTTTATAATTAATTATTATTTTATTTTTTCCATTCCGATTTAATAAATTATAAATTAAACCCTCAACCCCACTTTTTGTTATTCGAATACCCACTATAAATAACCCTCCAAAACTTCCTCAATTAATCATTCATCACTACCAAAAACCTCTCAAATTATTCTTACAATGCAAATGGGAAACCTAACTGCATTCATTCTTTTCCTATATTTTTTCTCTCTCCACCAATCATTGGCCGCCGCCGCCGCAACCACGTACAATGTCTTGGACTTGGGAGCAAAGCCCGACGGCGCAACAGACTCCACCGCCGCCCTGTCCAGAGCATGGTCAGCAGCTTGCGCATCCAACAAACCCACCACTATCTACGTGCCACGTGGCAGATTCCTGCTCAGGAACGTGCACTTCAGAGGTCCCTGCAGGAACAAGGCCATCACCGTGAGAATCGACGGAACCCTCGTAGCTCCGGCGAACTTCAACGCCATCGGCAAATCCGGCAACTGGCTGCTCTTCGAGGGGGCCGACGGGGTCTCGGTCCGTGGCGGAACCCTGGATGCGCAGGGCCCCGCCTTGTGGGAGTGCAAGAAATCTCGCGGGAAAGATTGTCCTAGTGGCGCCACGGTAGTAATTCTTAAACGTCACGTGTGTTGTTTTTACTGTGTGTGTGTGTGTGTGTGTTTTGTCTGGTCTTGAATTTTTTATTTTATTTAAAATCGTGGTGCAAATTAAATTAAAAGAGCTCGAATTAAAGCTTGGAAATTCCATGGGGTTTGTCACGTGCGATGTTTAGTATAGGAATTAGGAAATTAACTGCTACAGTTATTATTAAATAATAACTGATTTCCAGGTTAGTGAGGAAGTGGAGGGTAACGGTTACTTAAATTCTTATACCATGTTCTTTTTTTTTTTGTTTTAATTCTTAATTAATTTAAAAAAAAATAGCAATTTAATTAGCAATTTAATTACTGAATTTAAGGTTACTTACTTCTTAGACATAATTACTGTACAATTTAATTATATATTAGTAGTTTTTTTTATATAATTTTGATTAGTATAATTAATGCGCAGACATTAGGTATGACGAAGTCGAAGAATATGGAAATAATCGGACTGACGTCGTTAAACAGCCAAATGTTCCACATTGTGATAAACGGATGCGAAAACGTGAAACTGCAAGGGGTTAGGGTTTCGGCGTCGGGAAATAGTCCCAACACCGACGGAATTCACGTCCAGCTATCAACGGGCGTCACAATTTTGAGTACCAAAATAAGTACGGGAGACGATTGCGTCTCGATAGGCCCAGGCACTAAGAATCTGTGGATCGAAAACGTGACTTGTGGGCCCGGTCACGGGATAAGGTATATATTAAAATTTTGTTGTTCACTATATAATCGATCGTAATTTGCTGATTCTCGACGAAAATTACAAATTTTTTTTTAATTTTTTATTTGTGGATGAAGTATTGGAAGCCTGGGAAAAGACTATGAAGAAGCAGGTGTGGAAAATGTGACAGTTAGAAGTGTAAATTTCAAGAACACACAAAATGGGCTAAGGATAAAAACATGGGGGAGACCAAGCAAAGGTTTTGTACGTGGTGTTGTTTTCCAGCATGCACTTATGACCAATGTGCAGAACCCTATTGTCATTGACCAAAATTACTGCCCTAATAACAATAACTGCCCCGGGCAGGTTGGTTCTAATTTTCTTAATTAGTTGATTCATCTTTTTTTTTTCTTTTAATTATTTAGTATTTTCAAGATGTTTTTTAGTTAATATATTGGTTGGTTGGTGTTATTACAGGTGTCGGGAGTGAAGATTAGTGACGTTAGTTACGAAGATATTCAAGGCACGTCAGCAACAGAAGTTGCGGTGAAATTCGATTGTAGCAAGGCGAATCCATGCGAGAGAATAAGGCTTGAAAATGTGAAACTAAGTTACAAAAACCGAAGAGCCGAGGCTTCGTGCTCGAATGCTGCTGGCTCGGTTTCCGGTCTGATCGAACCCACCAGCTGTTTGTATTAATGAGCTGATTATTACAACTTGTAAGAGAAGTTAATTAATTAATTAATTAGTACTAGGAATTGAATTTATAAGTTTTCTTGCATGAGAGCCTGTGGTGGTTTAATTGCCAGTTTTCTTAAACTGGTTTCGCCTGGCCTTGCACACACTACAAAAATATTAATTAACAGAACCAATAATTTGTAATACTTTCACTAGTATATATACACTTTGATTCAATGCAAATTTTATTTTAATTTAATTTTTTTTTAAAATGGATTTGATAACTAACGAAAAATGCTCGCGAAAAATTTATCGGAAAAATCGTGATTTGCGATCCACAAATTAAAGCACAATATACAATTAGCGTTGTCGGTTCCATGCAGTACTGATCGATCGTGTTATAAGGTAATAAGCAGATCGTGTTTCGGGTTTCTTAATTTTTGAATTATCATGAATTATATTCTATTTATCTGCACATGATGCCTCTGCTTATTACCAATACTTAATTCATTTTAGAGTTTAGAGCTTCATTCTTGCCACTTTCTGCCTACACTTGGATTCTTTTTGGTTTCTGGGCTGTACCTTTAACATTATTATTATTATTATTATTATTATTATTATTATTATTATTATTACACTGTAATTAAGTTTCTTCTGTTTTGGTTAGAACAAAGACAAACATATTCATCCATAACCATCTACCCCTACTATTAATTACAAAGTATATATTTGTTATTTCATCAGGAACTCGTTTGGTTGCCAAGATTAGATAATCAACACAAGATTAAATAATCTAATGGAAAGCAAATTGTTTTTTCGGCCTGCGGGATCACTAATCTCCCCAACCAAATGAGGCCCAAGAATTATTAATCTTGTGCTGGTGAGGAAAAATGAATTAGAAATATAACCACATTGACATATATCACATGGTGTTAGATCGTAGCATTAAATTCCTGTGTCTTGTGATTCCTTACTTAATCCATAATTAATAATTAACTATACCTGCATACCTTCTGGTGATTTAATTAATTAATTATTAATAATTGCATTAAATTAATTACCATCTCTGATCCCAAGAAAATTCATCAAACAATGTCCCTATACGTACACTTTCACAGTACATACATCCACGTGAAATCAAGATCTAACTCACTTGGCTTTTCCATATTCACCGCATTATATCATATCTCCCATTTGATATATATATATATATATATATATATATATATATCCAGTCTTATTCATATCAAATCTTAAAACATCAATTTTCCCTCCATTTCAAAATCAATAATCATGCCTAATAATTTAGCAACATCTTTTTCTTGTCAATTAGTCTTGGTAATTGACCTATTTATAATTATATCTCCTTCTTCAGCTTATAATGTGGTCAGTTTCGGAGCTAGAGGCGACGGAAGAACAGATTCCACGTCAGCATTTCTCCGGGCATGGACCGCCGCGTGCAACTCAGTCACACCAGCGTCGGTTTCCGTCCCTAGAGGAATATTCCTGATTAGATCCGTTTCGTTTGTGGGGCCGTGCAAGAACCGAATCCTCTTCCAAATAAGTGGAACTCTAGTGGCTCCTGATAACTACAACGTTGTCGGGAACTCACAGTTTTGGATTCTGTTCTATAAGGTCAGCCGATTATCTGTCGTCGGAGGAATCATCGATGCTAAAGGATCCAAGTTCTGGTCCTGTCGGAGAAGCGGAGGCAACTGTCCTCGCGGAGCAAGGGTAATTTTATTTTGTGTCCTACTATTATTAAGCTAAAGTAGTGTAATTTCGTTGTTTCCCATCCGAAAATTCGATTTTGGAACAATATTCTGAATTCCGAAAGTTCCGAGGTTTTTCTAATTTTGCAGATTTTTTTTTAATGGAATTGGAATACATATTAGATTCCGATTTCGGAGCTTATTTTAATTCCGAAAATTGCACTTACAATATATTATTATGCATTTTGTATAATAGGTGACTTTGAAATTTCTGAATTCCGTCGATTTCGATTTAGAGGTTTCCAATTTTGGAACATTTCAGTCCAATTTCAAAATATTTTTGAAACAAATTAAATTGGAACTGATTTTCCACTTCATAAAAAAATAGAATTTTCCCAAGTTTGTTTTGGAACGGAATTGGAATTACATATTAGATTCCGATTTCTATATTTTTTTAACGGAACTGAATATGGTTTTAATTCCACCTCCATTTTTTTTTGGGGTCCGAAATTACTTGTTCCAATTCTGATTCGTTCGATTTCCAACTTTAGGCCTACGTGACCAATCTAGATTCTTAGGTAACAAAACAACATTTTTTATTGGCAGTCGATATCGTTCCAATGGTGCAGCAACGTGATAGTCAACGGTTTGTCATCGTTCAATAGCCAGACGGTTCACATGGCGATTAACGAATGCAGTAATATGAAGATACAAAATATGAAGATCACTGCACCGAGCGGAAGCCCGAATACAGACGGGATCCACATAGAGTCATCAAGGGGAGTTACAATCACGGGCTGCACAATTAGGACCGGAGACGACTGTATATCAATCGGGCCTGGATCCATGAACATGTACATGGACAATATCGGATGTGGGCCCGGACACGGAATCAGGTACAATATCAGTTTGTCATCCACTATCCACGAGTCTATTGCATTCAGTCAGTACTCATGTATTATATCAAATTGCCAAAAAACTCCTCGTATTATAAATATTAGCTAAAATCTCCTTATTTCGTGTATTTTTTAGCACACAACCCCCTAAAATGTCGATTTTTAATTATTGATGCATGCTTTCAAATTTTTTTTTTTGGAGTGCAGCATTGGAAGCCTAGGCAATGGTTTTAATGAAGACGGAGTACAGAACGTGACGGTAACAAATTCCGTCTTCACAAAGACGCAAAACGGCGTTCGTGTGAAATCGTGGGCCCGGCCGAGTGGCGGCTATGCCAAGAATCTAGTCTTCAAGAATCTTATAATGAGAAATGTGGCAAACCCTATAATCATTGATCAAAGATACTGCCCTGGTAACAGTTGCCCTCATCAGGTACATACTAATTATACTAAGCAATAATATTAAATGAGATATAAAATATTGTTTTATTTATATATATATATATATTATATATTCATATATATTGATCATAATTCATATATATGATGATGAATGATTGAATATTATTTGTAGAGTTCTGGAGTGAGAGTGAGCCAAGTGACGTACAAAAACATAAAGGGATCTTCGTCGACGCAGGCGGCGATGACTTTCCGTTGCAGTTCGACGAACCCGTGTAGCGGAATACGGTTGCAAGATATTAAGCTGACTTATGTGAATACTTTGAAGAGGCCTACTGTTTCTTACTGTGAGAATGCAGGAGGATCTACCACTGGTGCTGTGCTTCCAAGAAGCTGCTGGTAGTATATTTATTTAGATAAAATTAAATAAATTAAAAAATATTTACACGTGTAAGATTGTTGATTTATTTATCCAAGTATGATTGATTAGTCAAAAATAAATTGAATTAGTTACGTGTGATGGACCATATAGTATTGACTATTCAAGAACGAGAGTAGAAGATATAGAAAGAATTCATTTCTCCCACAATTTATAATATCAAATTGTGCACGTCTTTCCCTAGCTAGTGTAAACGAGATTGAGCAATTAGGCTCGATTCAATTTTTTTTTTTCTTTTAAAAAATTCGGAATAATCCCACCAAATAAAAATTCGGAATAATCTAGAAACTTAAAATTGTGCCACCATGTTTGACTATTAATTTTAGACTTAATAATTGAACCAAACTAAGATGATAGCATCAATTCTCCAAGATTCTACCGTTTATGTGAAGTCCTTATCACTTAGGTATTTATCAATTTAGAAGACGAATTTATCCCACGTGTGAAACATGTTAACATATCTTGTTTTATTTTTTTAAGTATAATCCTTAATAAATTTGTGGAAATAAAATAAATATAACACTAATAAATATCTAGCAAATTATGACCTTACAGTTAGCCTAACTTTTGCTATTGTTACTTTCCAAGTGTCCTAAATTACTATCATCCAAAAAAAATAGTTAGCTAGAACTTACAAGTTCAACGTTGACCGTTGAAAATACAAAAAATATATGTGATAATACATAATTACTATAATTACTTCGAATTTGAACTAATATTTAACATTTTATTTACTTTTTATGAAAATTGAAAATTTGAGGGGTCTAAAAGGAAAGAAATAACTTCTTGAGGGGTAAAGATGGAAATTCCAAAGGGAATCTGATGATTGATGGTGGACCCCACCTTACCTTATTACATACATAATGCAAAGCAAGCAGCCACTACCTGTGTCTTGTTTTTAGGCCCTTGAGATGTTAACATCAATGGCGGCCTATATTATTTTCCACTAACCACATATAAACTTTCTTTATTCATTATCATTAATTATTATTTAAAGCTAAAAAAATATTCCTTTTGTTACTGTTTCCAGAATCATGATTAATCATCACAACCAAATGAAATACAAAAGCAATATGTATCTACTGATTATCCTGCACCACATGTGATTGGTTGTTTCAGCCCCTGATTTTCTGGTGTTCTTTTTTTTCCATTATCTTGAAAAATAAAAATTCAATCTTTACTTTGTTCAGTTGCTCATGATTAATCTTCAAGACTGATTTTTTTTCATTGGGAAGTGGTGTATTAGCTCAAGAAGATCTATTTCTTTAATGGGTTTTTTGGATTAAGATTATCCGATTAAAATTTTGTGGGTTTTGTAGATTTTTGTTCATAGGTAAATTCATTTTTTAGGGTTTCTATTGTACTGTGCCATAATCAAGATTTCCAGGTACTTATCCCTTTTGTCGGTTTAATATCTTAGAAATTAGGTTCTTGTTGTAATTGCAATCTTGAATCTAGCAAATCGTGTTTAATTCGATTTATTGCTGTCTGATTTCTTGAGATTGTAGTTTTTGATAATGGCGAAGAATATTTAGATATAGAGTTCTTGAACACCTCAAGAAGAGTGTGTGTGTGTGTGTGTGTGTGTGTGCTTGTTTAGAATCTGTGTAAAATTTCTGTGGGATTATGGAGAAGCAATATAGTTTTCGAAATCCGACAATCGAAAAACAGCAGAGTTTTCGTAATGGGGGAATCGAAAAGCAGAAAAGCTTTAGGGGTTTAATGGAGAAGCAGAAAAGCTTTAGGATAGCATTAGAGAGACAGCTCACATTTGGTGGAGGAGATAGAAAAAAGAGCAAAGATTCACCCGGTAAGAGAGGCGATTCGCCGCTCCACCTCGCCGCTCGGGCGGGCAATTTAGGAAAGGCGAAAGAAATTATTCAAAAAATCGAAAACGGTGCAATAGATTTGCTCTCAAAGCAGAATCAAGAAGGCGAAACTCCGTTGTACGCCGCTGCAGAAAACGGGCATACTTTAGTGGTGGAAGAATTCTTGAAGCATTCAGATGTCGAGACTTGTTCGATCCCAGCCAATAATGGCTTCGACCCGTTTCACGTTGCTGCAAAACAGGGCCATCTTGGTAAATAAAACCTGTTTCATCTCATGCCTTGGTTATAATTTTTATCTAATTCGATGAAAATTGTTATTTAATTTGAAACTATACAGATGTGTTGAAGGAGCTTCTGCGTTTTTTCCCGAGCCTAGTTATGACAACAGACACCGCAAATTCGACCGCCTTACACACAGCAGCTGCTCAGGGTCACGTAGATGTAGTGAATCTGCTTTTAGAAACTGATTCGAATTTGGCTAAGATTGCTCGAAACAATGGCAAGACTGTGCTTCACACAGCAGCAAGAATGGGACATTTGGAGGTGGTGAAATCCCTTTTGGAGAATGATTCGAGCATTGGATTTAAAACCGATCGAAAAGGTCAAACGGCTCTGCACATGGCAGTTAAGGGGCAAAATGCGGAGATTGTGAAAGAGCTTATAAAACCGGACCCGTCACTTTTGAGCTTCGGAGATAACAAGGGGAATACGTCTCTCCATATTGCCACGAGAAAGGGACGAATTCAGGTTCGGTTTAACGAATTTCTTTCATATTGAAAAAGGGGGGAAGAAAAAGGAAGTCTTGATTTATATATGTAGTTTCTTGATTTTGGCAGATTGTGCAGTGCTTGATATCCACCGAGGGTATAGATGTAAATACGCCCAACAGTGCCGGAGAAACTCCACTAGATCTCGCTGACAAATTCGGAACTCCAGAATTAGTAGCTACCCTAAAAGAAGTGGGGGCCACCCATTCGAAAGATTTTGGAAAACCGCAAAACGCAGCTAAGCAGCTAAAGCAAACAGTTAGTGACATAAAGCACGACGTTCAATCACAGCTCCAACAAACGCGTCAAACCGGTTTTAGGGTTAGAAAAATCGCTAAAAAAGTGAAGAAGCTTCATATCGAAGGTCTAAACAACGCAATCAACTCCGCCACTGTGGTGGCGGTTCTTATAGCCACCGTTGCCTTTGCCGCCATCTTCACCGTTCCTGGCCAGTACGTTGAAGAGAAGACAAACGGGTTTTCGCTCGGAGAAGCTCATATAGCGAATAATGCAGCTTTTATTATATTCATTTTATTCGACAGCGTGGCGTTGTTTATCTCTTTAGCTGTGGTGGTGGTGCAGACGTCTCTTGTAGTGATCGAGCAGAAGGCGAAGCAGCAGCTTATGTTTGTGATAAACAAGCTCATGTGGTGCGCTTGTCTCTTTATCTCGATTGCTTTTATATCGCTGACCTATATTGTGGTCGGGGTCCACGAGAGGTGGCTTGCTATATACGCTACCGTGATTGGAGGTGTGATAATGACTACCACGATTGGTTCGATGTGCTACTGTGTGGTTAGGCATAGGATGGAGGATTCAAGGATGAGGAATATTCGGAGAGGTGGGACCCGCGAACGTTCTTCGTTTTCGCTGTCTGTGGCTTCCGATTCGGAGATGTACAGTGAAAGGTACAAGAGGATGTATGCTGTGTAATAAATATTAAATAACCTTGTTTTTTCGCGCTTGTTCGAAGCAATTATGTTGTCGTATTACTTCCACGCGGTTTATATATGTGATGTGTAATACATCTCTTGACAGAAAAAGATGTACACTTTTTGCAATAATTTCATCTTCAATTACTTTGATATATGACAAGAAAAAGAATTTCCTATCTATAACTATGTACTTTTGTGCAAATTTAATTTTGAACCCTTAAATTGAAACAAGAATCTCATCTAAACCGTTACAACATCGGACAAAATTCTGACCGTTATTATCGGTATACGAGGTTGGAATCGAGCGTTTGAGTGAAGATTATCAATGGTATGTCAATGTAGACTTTTGGTGTGAACTTGAACTTGAACTTCCTCCATGCTTCTTTGAAACACTGAGTTTTTGATCCACTAAAGCTGGATTACCAGAGAGGCAATGCCTTACATTTACCCGATGAGTCTTTGTCTCAGTCGAGCAACTTCCTCGTACATTAACCAATAGAATCACTTCTTTGTCTCTGGTGTCTTCAGACCACCAGCTTTGTGGGACCCCATCTACAAACTCCTCCATTGTGTGGAACTCTTCGTGGTGTATCGTTATCTCTGCAACTTGATCGGGATCTATCATGCCAGCTGCCGGAGTGACCTAAAACGAAATATTCACTTTTAATTTTTATTTTTTATTTTTTATTTTCTTTTGCCACAAAAATATTTTTTTTTTCTTTTAAAAGAATTACCTCGAGCCATCGTGGGAAACCGAGGGAGCCTCTGGGGTGGTACTCGGAAGCTACCGAATCTTCATTGATGGTGGCTTGACCTTCACATATGATATGGAAAAAAACCATGTCTTCACCACTTTTGTTTGTGATTTTCAGATTGAATGTATCTTGGTTCTTCAGCTTTATTTTGTTTGTATTGACAGAAGTTTCCGGAACGAAACGCAGTGCTTCTAGATTCGATCTGATGTTGTCGTTGGATTGAAGAATTTTACCTAGCTCCTCCCTTCGTAACGATCTATCGACATGGGCAATGTCTACGTTGAATTTGCATCTTACTGGTTTGTGATCGCTTTCTGTCACATCCATACGCGCCTCGTATCTTTCATGCAAAAAAAAAAGATCATTAGTCAAAGATTAAATAAAGAGAGAAATAAAATAAGGAATTAAAACCTACTGTAATATGGAAGCAACCACAGGGCACTCCAAACTACATTCTTCTGCAGGATTTGCTCTATTATCTCGATAAAGTATTCTGTCACACCAAGCGGGGATTCGTTTCTTCTCCCCCGAATCATAACCTTGAATTAAAAAGAGGTTTTTAATCATTAATTCTCCGAATAAAGACCTTAGTAAATGGTGCATGAAGTGTAGAAATGTAATAGCGTGATACCTCCTAATCCAGGCTTTCCTCTCTCGAATTTGTAAGTGGGAGGAAATCTGATGAGGGCCTCGCGCATTCCTTGGAAAGCTTTACCAGCTTTCATTTCTGCTCTGAGTTGATCTTTCTCACGAAGCCAATCGAAGCTTCTTTGAGAGACAAAGTCTCTTGCTTCGTCGTACGATATGCCAAACAGACGGTAATTAAAATCGCCACAGAAGACAACCATATCAGCTTCAGCAAGATCCGGCTTTCCCTCGTCAGGGTTAACTGTTGAAGCCTTTTATTTGATTAAACAACCACTGTTACTTAATGCCGCAATTGAGAGAAATGACTAAAATAAAATAAAATAAAAGAGGATGATTGCTTTTTTTGAGTTGCAAGTACACGTACATTAGGGCCACGGAGCATCTGAGCGGCTGATGAAACACCAGCTGCAATAGAGAGGATCCAAGGGAAGCCACAAGAGTAAAGCAGCCAAAATAAATATGTAGAGAAGACAAGAGAGCAAAGCAAGTACAGGTATCGCAGCATACCAGCAGCGTTGTTGAGCATGTTAGAAGATCGTGTGAATGTCATTGTTCGGTATATATGATCGAAATCTGCGTTCCTCCGATTAACTGCCTCCAAATGCGCAGCCAAATGACAGTTCACAAAGCACATTATCCGATCGTATACTCTCAATCTCAATCCTACACCTCCCTGCAAGCGAAGTAGAGCCAGTAAATCGTAATGAAATTGGAGAAATTGAAAACAAATAAGCATGAAGCTTAATTAAATTTCACTGTAACCAGCAAAAAGAACTGTAGGTTACCTTATTACCAATTGCACGACCTAAACCACAAGCAACTGCTGCAACATCTAGATCCCCGACATGTGTCCTAAGAGTATTTCTCACCCTGAAAGAAAAAAAATATGATTTGCAACCAACTTAACTATTGAAAAGAAGTTGCAAAACTTGATTTTATATAGGTTTCGAAATCATATATACCAGATTGCTGTCATTAAGCCAGCCAATTGTCGAGAACCCACACGTTCAAAAGTAGACCCTTCATCCAAAGCCTTGCCAATGTGATCTTGCCACCACTGCCCAATTGCACTTCCTTCTAGCCCTACCTAAAATAGACAATAGCTTTTAGGACAGGAGGAAAGATCAAAGAATACTTTTAGGACAGGCAATAATGTCAATAAAGTCATATTGCAGGCTTACAGTTTCTTTAGCAGCCGACATTGCAAGAAAACCAGCACCCATCTCCACTTCTTGCAGCCCTATAACTACAATACCAACATCCGACACTGCAGAACCTAACCACGACATAAGAGCATCGTGAGAGGCTCTTCCCTGACCAACATTCCACGTGCCGACCAAAATTTTGACACTCTCTAGCCTTGTATACATGATCTCTCTATCAGATAATTCGGACCGTAATATATTATCAATAGGTGCAGGCGATGAAATGTTCCAACCACGTATACCTCCGTGAGTTGCCAAGCTAAACACAGAGCCGTTGCCCACCACTAACTTTATAACAGGCCCGTTATGAGCAACCCAGCCCGCAATTAGATTCCCTTCAAGATCCAGAAGCTGGACCATCCCACTTACGTAACCGACCCATACTCTCGACCCGTAAGAGCAAAAACACAGTACACCGCAAGGGTGGTGTGTGAATTCTTGCAAGCGGTTGCCATTACCATCCCACTGTACTAACAGACCGTTTGAGGATCCTGTCCAAATCATTCCATCGCCCGCGAGAACAATAGCTTCTGTTCTTTTACCGTCCTCCGCGAAAGCTCCGGCACCCTTTGTTGCTACTCTTCGAACGGCATCTGCAGCTCCCATTATAGCATTGCGGGACCGCTGCAAGAAGCCTTGGGATTTCTCCTTTTTGGACTTGGAGACAAATTTTACGTTCATCTCGTCTTCAACGGGTTGGTCTTGGGTGGCAGATGATGTTGATGACGATGATGATGTCATTGATGATGATGATGGCACGTCAGAACGATTGTCGTTCTGACTCTGACCGTCCACGTTGAATACTTTTAGAAGGTCTCGAGTACGAGCATCCCTGTTGCACTGCCAATTATTAGCAAATGATGGATGAAAAAATAACATGCCAATAAAAAAAATCATGAATAAAACGGACGTGATGCAATTTAGAATCAAGAATGGAAAAACGGTCAAATGATATCGTAGTTGAGAGAATATATGAATAATAAAGGTACCATAGCGAGAAGGATAGGGACCCAACCGCCCAGACTTTGGCTCGGGCATTATCAGATAGCAAACACTTCACATCTGAAGAAGAGATATTACATACACCATTAATTGTAACTTGGCTTTTGAGATCGATAACTGATCTTTCCACCAACAGAGAAGCCATGTGTCTTTCCTCTAGTGATAGAGACATAGATTTTTCCACAGCTTCCCATGGCCAGACCCTTATACTGCCGCTTTCAGATCCTGACCATATATCACCTGCACCCGAGCCATAATGAAGAAATATAACAAATAAAAGGTAAACGGTCTAACATAATAGGATACAACGAGTAAAGCTCGTTGACTACCATAAAAGAAATATTTACCGTAAGAAGAAATCTCCATTGAAAGAACTGGTCCTTTATGTGCCTGCCAAGAAAGACCTTCCTTGAAACCGTTGTCATCGGAGAGATTCTGATCCATCTTCCATGATCTAATTTTACCATCTTTGTGCCCACTCCAAACAAACTTACTCCCTTCATCAACAATCAAGCATATCGTGGGTGATGCACTCGTTGATTCATAAAATGGAGCAGCATCCTCGTCACCTCTTGGTGCCCTTCCTCCTACCCCAGTACCTGGCTTATATGAATCTGAATAGTTCCATACTCTTACGCCTGATTCTTGCCCTGCCCATAGTTGTGTTTCTGTACTGACAATTGTCCGTAAAAATTTCCCAACCTGTTGTCTTAAATCATTAATTTCACATGCATTTCCTAAAGTAAGCATGGTTAAGAAAGCTACGGAGAACATGCATTAATCAAATACTCAGAAAATCCATCCAAGCAAACAAAGAAACAAAAATTGTGATACTGAATTCAGAAACTCCATTGAAATCTACCTGAGTTTCTCTTAAAGGATGAGGCCGAAGCTCAAGACACGTTGGTCGGCTAGGGTTGACGGGCGCCCTATTTGGCACCCTAAATATGCCCACCCCACCACCGCTCCCCATAAATTCCGGCATCGGCTGCTGCGGAAACTTCTCGAAATCATCATCATCGCATCCGCCGTCCCCCACCGCCATTCCGCCAATCCTCTGGCTCAAATGGAGGTAATCGACATGGTGATCACTCACCGACCCCACCGCGACGCCGCCTCCGGTGGCGGTAATAGTCGAGTACGGATAAAACTCATCGTCGGAGGATGAATTGGGGGTCCCGCACACGTAGACGTTGTTCTTCGGGTTGTGGCTCAAGATCCGGTTCTCGTCGAGGCTGTGCTTGCGGAGCTGGTGCTGGCGCTTGTGGTGGGTGCCGGTGTTGGTACGGAGCTGCTGGCTGTAGGAGTAAGCTTTCCGGTGCGGCGGAGAATTGGATATCCCCGCCAGCGCTGTTCGGTCATCCTCTTCCAAACGCTCGTTCATTTTGGGATCATTGGATCTCTGTTTGCGGGAATTCTTCTTCGTCGACATTTACAGGCGGAGGAAAGAGAGGGAAGAAGATAGGAAATTGTCCATCGTCGGTTGCAATTCCGATCGAGAATTTTTTTGGGAAAAGAAAAAAAAATAAAAAAAGAAAAAAATAAAAATGAAAAATGAGAGTGGAAGGAATATGGGCGGAGAGAGGTGGTTGGATGGTGGGTGGGTAGTGGCTTCCCACGACGAAGGGGAGAGAGAGAGAGAGAGAGAGAGAGAGAGAGAGCGGAGAGAGGGGCGAAATTTGCTGGCATTGTACGGACAATAACGTTCTCATTTTCCCAAGGTTTAGTGCGTGTTTTGTGTGTGTGTGTGTGTTTTTCTATGATTTGGGGATTTTACCGCACAACTCATTTTTTTCTTTTTATTTCTTTCCCCCTTTTACTTTAACTTTTACTCCCTCTTACTTTCAATTGTGTCGATTTATCCCATGCACTTGAAAAATTATCTCAATATGGCCCTCGTCGTTAGTTTTCATATCTTCGACCGTTTGGCCTAAGGTCTAAAAATTACAAAAACAAATCGTTTCTCCCTGTTCAAATAATTAAAAAAATAATAAGAATAAATAAAAATATAAATTTTTTTGATTATATAAATGAGAAATTAAAACTGGTGATGAGATTTCACCCAACTCCCCCTATCTCATTCATCTTCATTTGTGTGGGATCTAGCATAATAAAGAACAAGAAGATGACTAATCTTGAAGATAATTATCTATACTAATTAATTAATTAATAATCCACCTATATCTTATCGTAACGTGATGAAACATGGCACAATAAAATATGTCTTTGTCGTGTTATCATGAATTAATGCAATCTGATGTACATTCAGTTCGCTGGAAATTAAACCATTATTAATTATGTATGTCCCCTCGTTTTACTAGCTAGTATATTTAAATTTAATGTGAAGCAAAAGAAACATCTATATATATATAAAGATAGTAACGACGAGAAATAGATTATTGGAAAATTAATTTCACTTTGCCAAAAAAAAAAGAAAAGAAAAGAAAAAGGGAAAAATGTTTCAACAGGAAGAGGAGGAGGAACAAGCTCTGGTAGATGTGTGCATGGGAGTTTGCTTTCGGATATATCAACTTCAAAGTTGCGCAGAGTGCGGTACGGTGGAGCTTGAGATCGATACCCGATTTCTTGGAGAACCATGGCGGCACTCTCCGATCTAGCTATCCTCCGCAGTTGATTTCCCCGGCCCACCGAAACCCTCTAACGGGATAGTGAGATTCTTGATCCATATATCACGGATTAATCTTCAAGAAATTATCTCAACCGTACCGTAGGGGATCCACTATGCGTCGACGCCACTCTCCCGACGCATGACCTCACTTCGAAGATGTTGGCGGAGGCGGTGGAGTGCCAAGTGGGCGGCAATGTCCGCGGTCATCGATAATTATTCGGAGGGTTTCGAGGGAATCGCGTCACTGGTCGATGTCGCCGACCATCGTCGCCGCGGAAAGAAGAGGGCCCACAATGAATATATGGGCATATTGCCGCCGGCTTTACTACACACAAACTTACTACAAATATCAAAACTATAGTGTCCGTCTATAAAAATCATAATTGCATGCGTATCGATCCCCTAATTATTGATGTTGTTGTCTGCTGCAATTACGTACCAACTGTTTGTTAATGTTATTCATAATTAAGCTAAGGTTTCACCTTGTTTTTCAGTTAAATAAATGTTCTAAATAAAGAGTATCATTTTCAATTCAGTTTGTTTGTTTCGCATCAGTGCCTACGATCAACTATTTTGAAAGTGAAAAAATAACGATTTTATATAAAATTATAATATGTTTGTGATATATACATATATATAGGGTATATCTATAATGTAAATTAATAAAATTCGACTTCAATAAAAGTTGGTGGCTCAACTGGTTACCAAAGCCCATTTCTTGAGGCCGAATGCAAATGATGTGATGGGTCTAAACTCTAAGGCCCATTTCTTCTATTATATTTACAGTATTCATTCCGTATAAGTATTTCGGTAGAAAATCGATATGGCTTGGTACGACAACGCGTTGGGGCAGTATGGTAAAAAAACATTCGCTTGTTGATATTTTTTAGAGTAAATTACAACCACTCGTGAGGTTGTCAAATTACACGAAACCCTCTTATGTTTGGGTAATTACAACCACCCATCAACTATGAATCGTTTTACACGTCCGTCCTTATGGTTTCAAATTCAATATAATCTTCGAGATTCCGTGAAACTATGTTTTCTGGTTATCTTCAATTTTCAATTAATTCTTTTTTTGTTTTTTTTTATATAATTATTTATACTGGGGTTATCTTCAATTTTCAATTAATTCTTTTTTTGTTTTTTTTTATATAATTTTTTTTTTTTTTTGGAGTAAATTCAAGTCTATTACAAGGGGAAGTAGGGGTGGGGGAACTCGAACCCTAGACCTTTACCCTATTGGTAAAGGCTAGGTACCAACTCTCCTAATGAGGGTTGGTTTTTATATAATTATTTATACTGGGAGAATTGACGTTTTTGTAACTTCAGAGTTAAATGGTGGTGATGTCAAATGTCTGACAACTAACAGCAAGGATCACATTGAACCAATTTTTCAAGTAAATATGGGCAAATCAATGCAATCGAAAGTACAAGGGATAAAGTGAAATTTACCCTATGCGCCATTTTTTTGACATTAAAAAAAGAAAAAAGAAAACCATAAACCAATTACAACCTGTATCTTCTTATACAGTTACAGTAGTCCTTCATCTCCAAAGTTTGGTAACAAAAATGGCAGCAAACCGAGCGCATGCAGTTATGGTTTCTTTCTTATTTCAAGGGCATATAACCCCATTCATCCATCTCGCCATAAAACTTGCTTCCAAGGGTTGCACTGTCACCTTCGTCCAAACGGAGTTCCTCCACCACCGCATCTCCACCGCCGCCGCCGGTGATGATGAAGAGCGCGAGATCCCGGAAATAATCTTGGGAGCACGTGAATCGGGCCTGGACATACGCTACGCCACAATTTCCGACGGCTTCCCACTGAAATTCGACCGAGAAGCCAACTTTGAAGAGTTCTGGGGGTCCATCCTGCGTGATTTTCCGGGCCGTGTGGACGAGTTTCTGGGTCGGATCACGGCGGCGGAAAATTGTGACGGTGGAGTACCGCCCAGTTTCTTGGTTGCTGATACGACGTATCTTTGGGCTTCTGAAATCGCCCACAAGTATAACATGTTTTCCGTCTCCTTTTGGACGGAAGCTGCTCTCGCTTTCTCCGTTGGTTATCATTTGGACCTCCTCAAACTCAACGCCCATTTCCCCATTGTCAATAACGGTGAGAAATTAAATCTCTCTCTCTCTCTCTAGATCTCTCTCTCTCTCTAGATCTGTCTTTTTAACTGTTTAGTCAAAACACGAATTAATTTTGAGGATACCAATGGGTTCCTTTGATTATTACAGGGCATATCTCATATATCTCATTTCAAGATTTATCGACTGACTTGACTTGGATGGGATCCTATTTCCGGTCTACTTTATTTTTTCTATTTTGATTTTATTTAATTTAAGTATTTAATCGTGCGCACAGACCCTCTGTGTTATTTCGAAGGAACATAAAAATTTTTTAGCACATATACTCCCATGTTTTTAAATTTTGCCCCTTTCATTCCACTTGCTTGTTGATTTAAATGAAATGACTAATCTACCCCTATGATTTTGCATGAGGAGAAGATGGTGGCGACGGCGTAATTATAAGTTACGTTCCGGGCATTGAATCCATAAGCACGAGAGACCTTATGTCGTATCTCGAGGGGGACAACGACCCCTTCAATATCCCGACAGTCTTGTACCAAAACATAATCGACGCGTACGAGCAAGTGAAGAAGGCAGATTTCATCCTATGCAACACCGTCCAAGAATTGGAACCCCAAGCTCTGTCCGCCCTAAATCAGAAGCAGCCCACTTACGCCGTGGCCCCACCAATTTCTCCGGCACCCCACCAATAATAATGTGTCTACTAGTACTAATACTACTGCTACTACTAGCCTGTGGCCCGAGGTGGACTGCCAAAAATGGCTCGATTCCAAGCCTCATGGTTCAGTTCTTTACATCTCGTTTGGCAGCACAATCGAGACAAACACTCAGCTGATTCACGAGATAGCTCACGGGCTGATGCTGAGTCAGCAACGAGTGAATTTCATATGGATTCTACGGCGTAATCTTGTCAGGATCACGTCCGATGATGATGATGATCTCTTGCCACCTGGATTTGAGGATTGTGTGGGTGACCGAGGATTGGTGATTCCTTGGTGCAATCAGAGCCTAGTGCTTTCCGATCCGAGGATTGGTTGCTTTCTGACGCACTGCGGGTGGAACTCTGTATTAGAAAGTATATGGCATGGGGTTCCTATGATTTGTTTTCCTTTGTCCGTTGATCAACCGACCAATAGAAAATTGGTTGTCGATGATTGGAAAATCGGGATTAATCTCTGTGATGACCAGACCAAACAAATTTCTCGACAACAAGTTGCACAAAAGATCGATCACTTGATGAGTAGTGGAATAACGAGCTTGAGGCGAGAAATAAAGAAAGTCGAGACGATTTTGCACCGGGCATGGGCTGCAGATGGTTCATCCAACGGGAATCTCGATCGATTTCTACATGATTTAAAGGCTAAAACTCATTCTAAGTCATCTGCAAATTAAATTAAATTAATTCATGATAAACATACATGTCAATTACCTCTATACCTATCCCGCCCTTATTGTTTTCATTTTCAGTTAAAGTCTTTGTTGGTAAGTTGTAACTCTATTTGTTGGCTTTTCAAACCAACTTGAATCATTGAAGCTGGATTATTATTATTATTTTTCTTTTAATTTTTTTTTCAAGTTATGATAAAAATGGTAGAATGATGTAATGCGTGTGCTCAGTTTTTCAAAAGTTCATTGTCCTTCCGTAAGATGTTTATTTTGAACTTTACACTGATTGATTTCGAATTTGAACATATGACAACCGTGAAAGTTTACCCACTAAGTACACATATACATGAGTACCATGAGTATTGTGTGTAATTATGTGTAGAATTACATACAGTTCAAATCCACCCAATGTAAATAACCAGGTATACCATCTAATTTCCCAAGAATTCGTGAAGAACCTGCGAAAAAACAGTAGAAAGTACATCCATTTGAAGCTTTGGCTTGGACAAGCCAATCTCCAAACCACCTTCACAATCTCTCGCTTTGTTAAGAGATATGGAACCATTACCATCTACAAACAGTGCTTCAAATTTTTTCGGTTTTCCCCAACCGTAGTCCACCGCATAGAAGTCGAATCTTGGCGAACCCGCAACCCCATACTGCCGTTTTCCGATCAACTCGTCGTACTTCTCCGGCCATTTCTCAGCACCGAACAAGATTCCATTCTCATTGTACACGTTTTCAACGATGGCGTCACCGATGGCCTTTGCTGCCATCACGAAGCCGTTGGGACCCTTGGCTTGTCCATGTTTCAGCTCTGCCAGAACAAGTACGACGCAGTTGCCGAAGTAATTAGCAGGCACCGGCGGCTTCAGCCTTCCCCGGCAATCCGCCACGAAGCCAAAGAACTCGGGCTCGTCGTCTGCCACGTCATCACCAGCCGATTTGGCCGAGCAGACCCACACGAGGGCGCATGCGGCTGTGAAAGTCGACACCCTGGGACAATTGGCTGCCACGAGCAAACCCTTGAGCTTTTCGATCTGCTCTTTCTTGAGAACGAATGTTGACCGGAGCTTGTCGATCGGGAATTTCACCGGCGGCGGCTCCACCGAACAAGATAGCTTCAGAATGAGGTCCCAATACAACGAGTCCAATCCGTTGATGTTTGTCGTATTTTTTCTGTCGAAACACGGCAAACAGTTGGATCGTGTTAACAAATCACGTAAATCACTATTATTTATATTATTATTATTATTATTATTATTATTATTATTATTATTATTATTATTATTATTATTATTATTATTATTATTATTATTATTATTATTATTAGTGCACTTAGTTTTGTTGATCAGAGCCCAGGTTTGGATGAAAGAGACAACTGTGCTGGCATCGGCGGCGGCGTGATGAGTTACAAAACCGATGCAGAAGCCATGGCCGGGGAACAGTGTAACTTGGAGAGCTAACACTGCGCAACAAATCGACTTTTCGGAACGCTTCGCCGGTGGAAGATTAGGAACGAAGGCATAAAAATCATCGCAATTCCGGGGATGATTTCCGGCGAGTTCGCTGAAATCAGCCCCGGATTCGCAAACATTAAAAGAAACTGAATCGCCGGATTGGTAACGTAGGATTGGTTTATCTCCTCCGGGGGTTAAAGGATGAACGATTTTTCCGGCGAGTGGGAGAAATTCGCCGAGAGTGAGGGAGAGAGAGCTTTTCAGATCGGGAACAAGGGTTTCCAGAAAATAGGGTTTCGTCGAACAAGCTGCTGTAAGATCGAAGAAGAGAACACTTTGATTGGCGGCGAAGTCGTACCACACCATATCGAAGAATACAATCGGCACCACAAACTCCGGCGGCGATGACCCCGCCGGAGGATTGATTTCGCATTCTTCGAGAATAGTGGTGGCGGCGGCCATGTAGGTTTTGGTTCTCAGTTCAACGGGTGGCCGGGATGATGATGATGATTTTTTATTCGAAATATCAAAAATAAAAAAGAAAAAGAAAATTAATTGGTTTCATAGAAATCTCAACTTCAATTTAATTCATCACTCGATCTCCTCTTTTGATGATTCAGGTCAACTTTTCGGAAACCCACCCCCATTTTAATACACTTTCCAGCATGCACTCATTGACCAAAATTACGAACTGCCCTAATAATAAAAATATTAAGGGATTATTAGCAAGACCCCCTCATCTAGGAAATGTAGTTAAGAAAAACATTTCAAAAAAAATAATTAGAGAAAACTCCTTAGTATTTTACCAAATGTTGTTTTTATAATTCCAAATATACCCTTAATTGTTAATGTATTATTTTGAAACCTTAATTTCTCTCTCATTTTCTTCACCATCTCTGCCCTTCACCACCACCACTACCTCTTTCCCGCCGTCCACTGCTACGCCACCAGATTGATGAAAGGTGTCTCCGTTGACCAACGCCGCCTGCCCAAGGATTCCGACGCCGTCAAGGCCTCTCTGAGATCGGCCCCATCGTCACCTTCGTTGCCTCCTTCATCTATCTCCTCGGCTTCTTCGGTACCTGTATATGAGGTTCACTCGCAGCACATGGGATGCCATGGGGATGAACATGGTCTCTAAAGGTGTCCAGAATGTCAGAGACTTCCTCAACAACGAGTTCCCTGACATGGACTTTATCGGAATCTCAAGCAACTACTGTTCGAACAAGAAACCAGCTGCGGTGAACTGGATTGAAGGGAGGGGAACATCGGTTGTGTGCGAGGCCATCATCTAGGAGTATATTGTGAAGAAGGTGTTCAAGACTGATGTTGCTTCATTGGTGGAGCTTAACATGCTCAAAACATGACGGGTTCGGCCATGGCAGGAGCTCTGGGTGGTGTGGTGACGGTGGAGGCTGATTTTGGGTTTTTTTGTGGATCGGACGGATCGAGGACAGCGTGTAGAGAATTTCGCGCAGGCTGAAACCTTAATCAACTATATACATGTTCATCGACTATATACATGTTCATAGTCGATTAAGCTAATCGACTATGTTCTGGTAGTCGATTAAGGTTGATCGACTCCAGTTTTTTTTATTTTTTTTTGGATTTCTTGTTTACTGATTTCAATTGTATAAATCATTTATAATGTTTGTATATTTTTTGTTTTTTGTAAAATATAATTGATTTTGCATTTTTTCGCAGTTGTAATTTGTTATGTTTAGTAGCAGATTCTTAATCGACTGTACTTCATCATAGTCGATTAATATACCTGATATAGAAAAAAAAAATTAAAAACAAAAAAAAATTAAAAAATTAAAGAATTTCCTTAATCGACTATGAAGCATAGTCGATTAAGGCTAATCGACTATGCTTCATAGTCGATTAAGAAAACTAATACAGAAAAGACGGGAAAAAAAACGGAAAAAAAAAAATCGCTGAGCGCGTGACCCAGTGATGATGTGGCGGGCGGGGGCAAAGCTGAAAAACATAATGGCTGAAAATGGTTATGAGCTTTTCTCAAATGGAGAAAAATATTTTGGGCCTTTTTCCATTAAAAAAAGTAATGAGCAGGTTTTATCAAAGAGCCCCTCCCTAATAAAAACTTATTAGGGAACAACGCTGCCTAGAAAATAGGGTTTCGTCGCACAAGCTGCTGTAAGATTGAAGAAGAGAACACTTTGATTGGCGGCGAAGTCGTACCACACCATGCCGAAGAATACAATCGGCACCACGAACTCCGGCGGCGACGACTCTGCCGGAGGATTGATTTCGCATTCTTCGAGAATAGTGGTGGCGGCGGCCATGTAGGTTTTGATGATGATGATGATTTTTTATTCGAAATAACAAAAAAAAAAAAGAAAAAAAAAAATTAATCTGTTTCATAGAAATCTTATCTTCAATTTAATTCATCACTCGATCTCCTCTTTTGATGATTCAGGTCAACTTTTAGGAAACCCACCCCCATTTTAATACACTTTCCAGCATGCAGTCGTTGACCAAAATTACTGCCCTAATAATATAAACTGCCCGGGCAATTTATCATTTTATTAAGGGCAAAATACACTTTGCACCCCTGAATTATGGACATTGTACCAAAGACACCCCTGAATTTCAAAACATACCGAAATAGTCCCTATATTTTTCAGTCAAACGTTAAATGGTTAACACCGTCAATATTGTTATGCATTTACATTTCTACCCTCACCCAAAGGACAAATCAGCATTCTAATTCTGTAATCATTCATTGTTTGTCTAATTGTGTAAATGAAAATGCAAATTGGTCATGTAATTCTATTAATAGGTTAACAAAATAAAAAAAATGGTTTTCTGTGCATAAATGTCTAACTAACTATCTTAATTGAGAACCAACCCTAATCAGTGGGCATGCACGCAGTTGAGAAATTAATAAGACAAGTGACGTTTAATCAATTGACATGCAATAAATTCTGCCTACCCACCTTCTAATATTTATCATTTTTGGACTATCAACAGATCTGAAGGTGCGATCTGATAATTAATTTGGCTTGGAAAACCCATACCATCTTAATTACTGCACTAACTAGAAATTAATAAGACAAATGACACCTCACAGTAGATTTAGCAGGGTTTTCCGCTTCCCACGTGAAACTGTCGAGACCCAACTTAGAAGATTTTCGTAATTTACCCTAATTAAATTAATTTAATAACAAGGATATAAGATAATAATTATATAGAATTGTTACATTAAATATGGGAACCCTTTCTAGGTGGCTTCGACTACTTGATCAGTTAATCAGAGTCAGGCCGCAAGATATTCGGCCATTAAATATAAAATCATATGTTATGCATTTAATTTATTTGGTATGTGATATAGACAGTTGATCAAGTGATAATAAATACGAGGGGCGATCCTTTGGAATATCTACCAAAAAGGGTTCTTGGAAAGAACTAAAGATAGGAGGGGGTTGGTGGTTGCATGGCCGCTTTGTTTTCGGTCAGAAGATGACATGTTTCGACGGGTGGGTTCGTGGCTGGCGGCGCACTGTGGGTGTGGAATTCGATACATATTGGTGAGCTCGGTTTCCTGTGTGCCTATCATTGCATGGCCGCTTTGTTTTCGGTCAGAAGATGACTAGTGCTGTCAAAAACGGAACTGGAACGGTACGGTGCCCTCTGCTTCAGAATCCCGAACCAAAATGATTTTTTTATGCACTGTGACCAGGGGCGGGCATAGGGAGTCTTGAGTGGGGGCTAGAATATTTTTATGGGCTAAAAGGATATAAAATTTTAACTTTGGGGGCTAAAATGCATAAACTAATAGATAAATAACACAAAATATTAAAAAAATAATAAAAAATAGGTAAAAAAAATTCCTACAGCCCCCCCCCCCAAAGACATCCCTTGGGTACGCCCTTAACTGTGACACACCGGAACACTAGGATATAACAGTACAATTACCCCTTTGAGGTAATTTTTGTCTTTAAAAATTAGCATAAATAAATGTCATGTCTGTGGTGGTAGAATTGATATTTTAGGAATATATTACCTGAAATAAAAAAAATTCCTTGAAAAATGACACCATTGGGGTGTCGATGTAAGACGGAAACAAAAATATTTAGGAAATTTTGATAATTAGGGATAAATGCAGTTGCTTTTTCGTAATTTAACATAAGTTCAAGGAGATTTTTGTAATTTATCCTAATTTAAGTACGAGAATGGCCGGATAAGAATCTATAATCGTTGCATTAAATATGGGATCCTTCCTAGGTGGCTCGATCAATACGACCACATGATTTTGCAGTCATTAATTAATGCATGCCCAATAAAATATGGATATTATTTGGTAAACAAGATCACGAAGAAGACTGCCTTAAATTATCCAGAAAAGGGAAAAAAAACGTGTACCTCTGTGATATTCTAAATAAGGATAGACAATTCAAGTGATAATAAATCATAGTAATTAATTTATCATCTTGCAGAAAATGCCACGTGAAATGACTTGTATAATTTAGTCATAAATTAAAAGTTTTGCAGTTATGGCTGTAGACAGCCAGCTGGCAAATCTCTAGCCGAACACAAATGGGTGCACGCAGTGGCGGAGCCAGGAATTCGAGACAGGGTGGGCTTAACATTAACGGGGGTTCGGGGGCAGCGCCCCCGATTATTATTTTTTGATTCATTCACATAAAAATATAGCACAAAATAACTACAAATTTATAAACTTAAACTAATATAAGCTATATTAAATTACTTGGGTGGGTGGGCTTAACATTGACGGGGTTCGGGGGCAGCGCCCCCGATTTTTTTTTTATTCATTAACATAAAATAGCATAAAATAACCACAAATTATAAACTTCAACTAATATAACATAAATTTTTTGATAGATAAGCTAAACTAAATTACTTGGGTTGGCTAAATTAAACTATTTGGGAGGCTAATTATATATAGATATAATATATAGTATAATTTTTTAAATAATGAGAGTGGGCTGGAGCCCACCCTTGCCAAAGGGTGGCTCCGCCACTGGGTGCACGCACATGTACGTTGATATTTTAAATAATTAAGAATACAAAATTCAAGTGATAATAAATAATAATAATTTTGTGTTAATTAAAGAAAATGGCAAAATGGTGAAATAATTATAGTTAATATGATTCGGAAAGTTTAGTTTTTAATTTAATAAGACGTACTACAAATGCAACAAATTAAAATTAGGGATCTAAAACAAAATTAATTCAAATATTAAGTGATTGTATTGTTGGAATCGGTCTTAGATCATGAAATCCCATGACCCGATCCATCAACTGATCAAGAGGAAAAACTGAATGGAAAAACTGAATGAAATCCATCATGCATGCATGCATGCTATGAAATACATAGCTTATTGAAATTACGGCACCACCCTTGGTAAATGGTAATTAATTAATTAATTAGTATGTGTGTTTTTGGATCAGCAATAAGCATCGTCTTAACAATATCCTCGTACTCGTGTCGGAAAAATGGCATGTCGGATTCGTGCAAGTACACCCAAGCTTCGATTCCATCGTTGTGTTTAGTGTTCATCAATATGAATAGATCCTGAAGTGGTACATCAGCTAAGCTCACCCACATCGGTTTTCCGAACCCGAAATCGAGCTCGTACTCGCCAAATTTGGACCAATCAGTTATCCATATGACCTTATAATCAGGGCTCGATGCTTTCTTAGCTGCGTCGAAATAGCTGTCGACTAAAACCCTGTTGGAAATTTTGAGTATTTGACTCAAATTTTGTTGAATATTTAAGTGGTTTAATTTAAATTCTCAAAATTAATTTTTGATGAATGATAAATTAATGGATCATTTAAAATATTTAAGTGTGGAAAATAATAAAGTGAAATGCCACCATTGAAAAAGATGGAGGTGTTTAAGCACCTATTAAATTGAATAGGTATGTGATTAATGGGAAAAGGTGTGATACCTTTTCATGAAATTAGTTTCCTAAGAGTTGTGACTTGTGGTCATAACCTTTGAAAATCTATAAATAGATTCCAAAATCCACCATTTGAAATAGTTCATTATTCACATGGAATTCAATACATTAATTGAATTCACTTCTCGTCATAAAATATCATTGCATATTGTTGCATTAACAAGTCCTTTCTTCGTGTCTTATAAAGTCCTAACCGTCGTTTCGTTCGCCGTGTTCCAATAATTGTTGTGCTGCTTTGTTGGAACTGAAATAGTCGTTGTATCTTGGGAGACAATTGCCATAAACCGAGAGCACTGCACGGGGCAAATTTGTCTTAAGGAGAAAGAACCTAGTTCTTGCCTCGACTACATTTTTCTTGTCAAACTTCTGTCCAAATTTTGTTCGTTCCCATTTCAAAATACACACACCCAAATATAACAAACCCATCGTCCGAATTCTTTGTCGGACAATATTCTATGGCAGTCTTTAACACCTTGCATTGTGGTTTCTCTCATTTTACGAACGAGGCCCGGATATTCATCGGGTTCGAGGCTATGGTTGGTTTGTTCTGCAGTGTGTTCCAGGTAGGATAACGAAACCCACGTGCCCCAAGCGTGCTTCGAAACTGGCGGTATGGTTCTTTCACGCACGTTGATGGCCTGGGCAATCAGGGAGGCTCTAGAAACGCCGCCGTTTTTGGCCCTGTCTGCGCGAAGGAGAGCCTGCGTCAGAACGGTGGACACCACCACCACCCTGGACGGCGGACGGCCGGCGGATGATCTCCATTCCGGGTTGGCGGTATCTCGGAGTGTGGAAATAGCGTTCTTGTCGAAGAGAAACCTCTCGCATACGACGCTGGTATCCCGGGTCCTGGAAACCCCGAAATCCAGCGGGGGCAGGTTTTCAGACGGGAAGAACACCGGCGAGTCGAAATCGGGCTTGATGACCGCTGATTCCCTGCCGGCGGCAGCATCTGCCCAGGCTGTAAGGAATATTCCGAGGGAGGCGGAATCGGAAATCCTGTGGGAAGCGCAGACGCCTATGGCCACCCCTCCGCATCGGAACTTGTTGATCCGAAGCGCCAGCATTGGGTCGGTGGGCTCGTCGGCGGCGCCTATTTCGAGTGGGAGAAGGTGGTTGAGCTGCTCGGCGGCGGAGGAGCCACCACCACCGCCGGTAATAAGTACTGTAACGAGGTCGCAATCAACACTCGCTACAGAGAACTCAGCACCTTCGTCATTGCAATCAACCAAGTGCTTCTCTTTGATGTATCTGCCGGCGAGCGGGTAGAAGAGCGGCAGTATTCGAGCGAGTGATTCTTCCAAGTTGATGATCGACAATTCTCCGGCGGCGGCGGAATCTGAAGATGAAGATGGATAGTAGAGGATGCGAATGACATGCATAGATGGATTGAGCTCATCGATTATAGATATCTTGTAGCTTCTCAGTTCTGATGGAGTTGCCGTCAATGGTTTTATCATCTTCCGCCTCTCCACCTCCACCTTCATCATCATCTTTTTTTCTTAATTAATATTTCTAGAGAGAGAGAGAGAGCTGAGAGAGAGATAGAATGTGATATATGTTGAATATTGATGAGGTGGAGGGAATTGAACTGAGAAGCTATCAAACTAAAAAAAAAAGAAAACTCTATATACAATTTCTTTATTCATATAAATATATGAAAATGAAAGAAATAAAATAAAAAAGTAACCGAAAGAAAGAGACTGGACAATTCTTTACTATGAAATTTAATTTGAATTTTTAATCTTATTTTACGTTATTTTTTAAAATAAGTACAATTAAGATTTATTCTAAAACTAAGGGCCCATGTATTTTATATATATATATATATATATATATATATATATATATATATATATATATATATATATATTAATATATATATGTGTGTACACTAGTGTATAGTATTGAGCCGGGCGTACCCATGCCTATGGCTGGATGGCCCCCGCCCCCTAAAGATTTTTTTTTTCTTTTTGTATTTATGTATTAGTTAATACACTTTCGCTCTCAAAATTTTTAATTTTGTACACTTTAGTTCCCAAAAGCAAAAAAAAATTCCACTCTTAAATTATCTCTATATTTCCGCCCCCAAGAAAACCCCCTGACTACGCCCCTAGTAATGAGTATTTTTTTTCTGAATCCGAGGCCCCTAAAATTCACAAGAACCACGTGTTGTCGCCTCCCCTCAGAACCGGATCTGATGAATTCATCGCGTGAAGCGCAAAAAACCAAATGAATTTGATATTACCAAACTCCTAGTGGTAATAAGTAATAACTAACAGTACCTGCTTGACGGCCAGTTATTAACAATCCGTTGACCAATTTCAGTATATATCGAACTGGGTCAACCGACCCGGTTGGCCAATTGCAGTATGTATATAATATATTTTTTTTTAAATAAACCGTAAAATGTGTTGATCGAGAGATATATTGCAACTTACATACAACATATGAATCACAACTTGTATTTTTATTTTTTTTTAAATAGTTCACAACTTTTAATGAGATGCCTAAATTGTCAACTGGCCAATTTAATTTATTTGTATGATGCATGCATTCACATTCCACACAAACTTTTATTTTAATTTATTGCCCCATATATAATACTAAATTATATTTTCCTAGTGACACTGATCAGGTGGACTCAGGATTTTTTTCAGAACTGTACTATTTATATAGAAATGACACAAATTAAAATAAAAAATGTATTTTTTTTATTGAACTGTATGAATAAATTGTATATTGTACAAAATTCAAAATATAATTTGTATAGTTCTTTAAACTACATCACAAAATAGTTGGTGGGCTAATTAAATTGGATTAGCATTAAAACATGTTGTGTATAAAATGACTAATTAAATTGAATTATTAGTATTAATTAGTATTAAAATAGTATATAAAAGAGGACAAGTTGGACAACTTATAACTACCGCGAGGTTATGGTCAAACTACGAAAATCCCCTTCATGTTTTGATAATCACAACTATTCTTCAACTATGAATCTGACCGGCAAGATTCTAGCTGTTTATATATATATATATATATATATATATATATATATATATATATATATATATATATATATATATATATATATATATATATATATATTTTTTGAATAGTTCACAACTTTTAGTGTTATGCCTAAATTGTCAACTGAGATGCATGCATCCACATCCCACACAAACTTTTATGTAATTTATTTATTTATTGCCCCAACAATAAGGCTAAATTATATAAAAATACCTTTTCTTTTGTGTAATTATATTTACCTAGTGATAGTGACGGAGCCAGGATTTGTTGTAAGAGTGTGCTAAATGTTGAGAGGGGCTCGGAGGTAGGAGCTGCAAATTTTTTTCTTCAGAACTATTCATACAAAATGGCACAAATTAAATAAAATTTCGTATTCTTTTATTAAATTTTATATTGTCCAAAATAAAATTAGTAGAGCTCTTTAAACTACATTATACACAAGGTGAACACTAATAAAATCTTTAGTTTCTATAAACATTCATCCAAACAATTCAATTTTACTCATACAATCGTCAGGGGTGCAATTATAATTAGACTTTTTGTTGTCAGAGATTATTGTAATATTTTTTTTCTTTCATATGGATAATCGAATTGATCTTTGCACTTTGTCACAAATTGAAATCGACCAACAATATCAATGTAAGTAACATTATTAATCAGTCCGGTATATTAAATTACGGAGAAGTTCGTGATTATGAGTTAAGTAGGCTCGAACTCTTCAAAAGTATTATAGATCGTTTTCTCAATCTCAATCACAACACAATGTTGATCGTACAATTAAACTACAATGAAAAACTCCATTGGAATACAGAGAAAGCTTGAGAGGAAAAGGAGAGAAGACGCGCGAAACGTTTATTAATCTGAATGAGTTAGTTATAACGGATATATAGTTTTTACCACTATTTAGAGAAACCCTGTATAACGAGAATGGAGTTCTCTGTGTTGCTGACAATTGGCCGGAGGAGTACGAAAAGTTGGCCGGAAAACGGGTGTATTCAGTGACCGAATCGCCGAAATTCGACTATTACGAGGAGGATTATGGGTGGGGATTTTGAGGGTGGTTTCGAGATCGGGCTTGTCCAAACCCAAGCTTCAAATGGATGCATTTGATTCTGTTTCCGGGGAATTTATTCTTAATTAGTATGTAACGAAATTTTTTCGATTTCTATTTTTTTCTTTTTTTCCAAAAGTCCGTTTCATTGCAATTTTGAAATTTGAGTTACTTCAATTTGTACAGAGATCATGTATTGCATGCAGCATTCCTTAGTTTTGGTACTCAAAATAATTAGGTGGAACAATTTTTCAATTTAGAATCGGCTAATTAAAAGTAATTTATTTGCCCATACCATACCTCATCAGGTGGTTGGCCGTAATTTGCCCTCCCAAGAAAACCAAACGTACATTAAAACAAGAAAACAAGAAAAAACAAAAAAAAAAAAATTAATTAAAATCAAAACAAGTGATTATCATGATCACTTTGGATTAATAGTGATCCATTTGTGGACAAGCCGAGAAAGGGCCAATGCAGAAGATCCATGTTCTTGATCCATAACATCTGCAGCTGCAATCTTAACTTCCGTCATCCTTTTCTGAATCTTCGTTCCCGGTTCGCCTTCTTCGTCCATGAGTTGTTTCACCACTTCCGAAAAGTGATCTCTCTCCACAACGCCATTCAATTCATTCGGCTTCACTCTTATTGCACCCCTCAATCCATCTCTCAAGAACACGGCACTCATCTTCTGCTCGAAGCAAAGCGGCCATGCTATCATAGGCACCCCGAAAACCGAGCTCTCCAGTATCGAATTCCACCCGCAGTGCGTCACAAACCCCCCCACCGATCCATGGCTCAAAACCCTAATCTGTGGGGCCCACGTGGCCACCACGAACCCCCGATCTTTAGTTCTTTCTAAGAACCCTTTCGGCAGATACTCCAAAGGATTATCCTTCACTTCAGCTGATTTATTATTAGTGTTCAAGTAAGCAGCTGCGGTGTTTTCTTGAGGGGTTCTTAAAACCCAAAGAAACCTATGCCGACACATTTCGAGTCCGAAAGCCAATTCGCGGAATTGCTCCGTCGATAAAGTTCCCCCACTCCCGAACGAAACAAACAGCACCGATTTCGGTGGCTGATTGTTCAGCCACCCGAGACACTCGTGATCATCATCATCATCGTCAGATGATGGTGATGATGACGTGGTGGTTGTTCTGATAAGCGGGCCGACGGGATAAACGGGAGGAGTACGAGGATGGCCTTGTTCTAAGACATGGAAAGCTTCAGATTCCAAACCAAAGAAGCTATTCACAAGAATGCCATCAGCTTCAAGGTACTTGTTCGAAAGATCGAGCGCCCACTTGTAATCTTCGCTGTTTCTGTCTTTCATCGAATCTGGGAAGTCCGATGAATTCAGTACTATGCCACCTGGCAATTTGATTTGCGATTCTTGATGTTGTTGTTCTTCTTCTTCGTGCAGCTTGGGCAAATCCATGGCGAGTGAGAGTTCATTGGCTGCTATGACGTAGAAAATGTATGCCGGGATTCCGAATTCTCTGGCTACATCAATGGCGAACGGAGCGAACAGATCCACCACCAGAGCGGCGGCGGGAGTTCCCATTTCACGTAAGGAAGACAGGGTGGCTCTGATGGCGGGGATTGATCGGGTTACGCGGGTCGGGAGCAGGGTTTCTGGGTTTGAATTTTCCGGCGGGCACTGGTCTTTCGCCGGCGCCGGCGGGAGAAAAACTGGGTTGATTGAAGTGGGTATGTGTCGGAGAAGAGATTTTTGGGGTTCCATTGAGGAACCGTCGTTTGGGATGATGAGAGTGACGGTGCAGTTGTGGTTGAGAACCATTTTTTTGGCGAGTTCGATGAATGGGATTAGGTGGCCGAGAAATCCCGGCGGAGGTAGCAGTGCTATATTGCGAGGCGGCGGCGATGGTGGTGGTGGTCTGTGTGCTGTGGCGGATTCCATGGCGGAATACTAATATGAATGGTACGCGCAGAGAAGAGTGTAATATATAAAACTATTAAATAAGGAGATTTAATTTGTGGGTTTTAAAACAAGTAGGTAATTCCTCGGAGCTTGCGTGATTAAATTTTGTCCATCAATTTTTCGAATTAAATATTTATAATTTTTTTTTTTATTATTAATGGTTCCCAACAGACTTTAATTTGTCGCATAACAATGGGTGGACTGGTGGTATTATCAGTCATCTATTTATTCACTTTTTCTGTTTACAATAATAAGTTGTTTTCAAAAAATATCTAAGATTTTGAGAAAACTCATGATGCAAAAATTAACTTTAATATTAAGAGTCTTTTTATATTAAAATTCTATAATATGTAAATATATGATGAAGAATATGAAACATGATTTATAAAATAGAAATAGTACGTTGAAGTTTTTATAGATTTGTGTTTCGAGTTTTGAGTTTCGACTTATTTTATATATTATTTCAAAATTAAGAAAATAAGAATTGCAATTAAATATTCATAAAAAAAATTTATTATTAAAAAAATCAGTTGACCGATACTACATCTGATCAAACCGACTTTTTAGAAAACTGAAAACCACCAACCGACCCATTTATATATATGCATCGGTTAAAATTACATAATCATTTCATGTAATTTGCTATGAAGTACTACATAGCTTTTTATTTATATAAAATAACTAACACACCATGCACCTTGGTAATTAATTAATTAATTAGGGTATGTGATTACACCCTCATTAATTATTAGCATGGATTTTTGGATCAGCAATAAGCATGGTCTTAACAATATCCTCGTACTCCTGTCGGAAAAATGGCATGTCGGATTCATGCAAGTACACCCAAGCTTCGATTCCATCGTTGTGTTTAGTGTTCATCAATATGAATAGATCCTGAAGTGGAACATCGGCCAAGCTCACCCACACCGGTTTTCCGAACCCGAAATCGAGCTCGTACTCGCCAAATTTGGACCAATCGGTTATCCATATAACCTTATAATCAGGGCTGGATGCTTTCTTGGCTGCGTCGAAATAGCTGTCGACTAGAACCCATCGTCCGAATTCTTTGTCGGACAATATTCTAGGGCAGTCTTTAACACCTTGCATGGTGGTTTCTCTCATTTTTCGAACCAGCCCTGGATATTCATCAACTTCGAGGCTATGGTTGGTTTGTTCTGCAGTGTGTTCGAGGTAGGATAGCGAAACCCACGTGCCCCAAGCGTGCTTCGAAACTGGCGGTATGGTTCGTTCACGCACGTTGATTGCCTGGGCAATCAGGGAAGCCCTAGAAACGCCGCCGTTTTTGGCCCTGTCTGCGCGTAGGAGAGCCTGCGTCAGAACGGTGGACACCACCACCACCCTGGACGGCGGACGGCCGGCGGAGGATCTCCATTCCGGGTTGGCGGTATCTCGGAGTATGGAAATGGCGTTCTTGTCGAAGAGAAACCTCTCGCATACGACGCTGGTATCCCGGGTCCTGGAAACCCCGAAATCCAGCGGGGGCAGGTTTTCAGACGGGAAGAACACCGGCGAGTCGAAATCGGGCTTGATGACCGCTGATTCCCTGCCGGCGGCAGCATCTGCCAAGGCAGTCAGGAATATTCCGAGGGAGGCTGAGTCGGAGATCCTATGGGAAGCGCAGACGCCTATGGCCACGCCTCCGCAACGGAACTTGTTGATCCGAAGCGCCAGGATTGGGTCGGTGGGCTCGTCGGCGGCGCCTATTTCGAGTGGGAGAAGGTGGTTGAGATTGTCGGCGGAGGAACCACCACCACCACCACCACCACCACCGGTAACTGTAAGGAGGTCGCAGTCAACACTTGCTACAGAGAACTCAGCACCCTCGTCGTTGCAATCAACCATGTGTTTCTCTTTGATGTATCTGCCGGCGAGTGGGTAGAAAAGTGGGAGTATTCGAGCCAGGGATTCTTCCAAGTTGATGATCGACAATTTTCCGGCGGCGGCGGAATCTGAAGATGGGTAGTAGAGGATGCGAATGACATGCATAGATGGATTGAGCTCATCGATTATAGATATCTTGTAGCTTCTCAGTTCTGACGGAGTTGCCGTCACTGGTTTTATCATCTTCCGGCTCTCTACCTCCACCTTCATCATCATCATCTTTTTTCTTAATTAATTAATATATCTAGAGAGAGAGAGAGTATATATTATTAGAGAGAGAGAGAGAGAGAGAGAGAGAGAAGACGCTAAAAGACGGATCTTGAAATATATGCCTGGATTCAGTTGAGGTGTATTGGAAAATGTATAGTGAAGCTATGCTATTTAAAAATAATTAAATTTGTGTAACGTAACCTCCGAGTCTGAGACATCATCAACATCAAAAAAAAATTAATAATAATAATAATAATAATAATTACCCTCTATTATTTATAACTACCGAAAAATACCTAAACTAGCCCTCTATTATTTATAATTACCGAAAATCTCCCTTATAACTAAAAAATTATGAAAATAGGTAAATTTGTGCAATCACTGGGGCATGGTAAATCTATAAAAAAATTCATGAGGTTTCAGCATTATAGAACCGGGCATTTTGATTGGTTACTGTTGTTCTTGTTCTTTGGCTGCATGCTACAATGTAGAAATAAGGATTCGATGGTTGATGGCCGACATTGGAATAAAGTAAACTTTGAGGGGTACTTTTGTCTTTGACTTATTTCTAAGCTAGAATTCAAATCTTGTTTGTCCTTTTAGTTAAATGAGTTTTTTGTGTGGACATATAGTTAATATATAAGTACCTCACTATGTGCCAATATGTAATTGTCCATATACAATTATGGTTAAATTACGACCACCTCCTGAGCTAAGCTCAAATTACGAAAATCCCCTCATGTTTGGATAATTACAATCACCCCAACCATCAATCTTCTTATATGTCCACATGTGTGGTGTCAAATTTAGTGGAATCTTCTAGATTATGAGGAATATAATATTTTTCGGTTTGTACCCGTTTAATGTTAATTCTTACCCCAATTCGAGCTCCACATTTTGAAATAAGATGATCATAAAATGTATCTCGTGACTTGTAAATATCAGATCGTGGTGCATCAGAAACTGTACTTTTGCACAAAACGACTACAAACTAGAGAACATTTCATGAAATCTAGAAAATTCTTTTGAATTTAACAGCATAAAGCTGAACATGTAAGAAAATTCATAGTTGAGTGGTGGTTCTAATTATATTATCCAAACATCACCATTTTTTCCGTAATTTGACATTCACCATTTTGGCATTTTCTTTAACACAAAATTATTATTATTTATTATTACTTGAATTTTGTATGCTTAATTATTTAAAGGATTAAATACAAAAACACCCATATACTATGAACTTTGTATCATATACCCCATGTATTACACATAAATACAAAAACTTCCCTCACATTACATTTTTTTTCCAAAATATGACGAAAATACCCCTACTCAAGCATATATATATAAGGGTTTGTTTGAGCCATTTTCCACTATATATTTTACCAATTTCAGTCAATTTTACGTGGAAAATTTTGGTATTTATATTTTTTTCTCCAAACATCTAATTGCTTAGATTTTTTTTTTTTGAATAAAACCTTTTATTTTTGTAATTTTGAGTTTCTTCATTTTTTTCCTTAAATGTTTCCGGTAGTTCAAACATCCTAAGATTGCAAACATCTTTACAATCCAATGATTGTTGCGAATTTAAACTACCGGAAGTCATTTAAGAAAAAAATGAAGAAATTCAAAATGACAAAAATAAAAGGTTTTATTCAAAAAAAAAATTAAATAATGAAATGTTTTGGAGAAAAAAATAAAAAAATCAAAATTCCCAAGTAAAATTGACCGAAAATGTTAAAAAATATAGTGGAAAATGGCTCAAACAAAATATTATATTTATAGGCTTAGCAGGGGTATTTTCGTCAAATTTTGGAAAACATATAACACTAGGAGAGTTTTTGTATTTATGTATAGTAAGGGGGTATATGATACAAAGTCCATAGTATAGGGGTGTTTTTGTATTTAACCCTTATTTAAAATATCAACACGTGCGTGCACCCATTTGTGTAGGTCTAGAGATTTGCCAGCTGGCTGTCTACAGCCATAACTGCAAAACATTTAATTTATTACTAAATTATACAAGTCATTTCACGTGGCATTTTCTGCAATGCAAATTAATTACTATCATTTATTATGACTTGAATTGTCTATTCTTTATTTAGAATATCACAGAGCTACCGACAGTCTCACGTTTTTTTTCCTTTTCTGGATAATTTAAGGCATATTTATTGGGCATGCATTAATTAATGATTGGAAAATCATGTGGTCTGGATAAGATTTGCATTGATCGAGCCACCTAGAAAGGATCCCATATTTAATGCAACGATTCTATTTTTCTTATCCGGATATTCTCATACTTAAATTAGGGTAAATTACCAAAATTTTCTTGAACTTATACTAAATTACAAAAAAACCACCTTATCTATTCATAATTATCAAAATTCACCTGATATTTGTTTTTATCTTACACCGACGCCCTAATGGTGTGATTTTTCAAGGAATTTTTTATTATTTCATGTAATATTTTTCGAAAATGTCGATTCTACCCCCCACATACATGACATTTCTTTATGCTATTTTTTAAAGACAAAAATTACCTCAGAGGGGGTAATTGTACCGTTATATCCTACTGTTCCGGTGTGTCACAGTCAAGGGCAGACCCAAGGTATGTATTGGGGGCCGCTGCCCCTGTAGGAAAAATAAAATTTAATATCTTTTTTTTTTTTTTTAATATTTTGTGTTATTTATCTATTAGTTATGCACTTTAGCCCCCCAAAGTGAAAATTTTATACCCTTTCAGCCCCATAAAAATATTCTAGCCCCCACCCAAAACTTCTTGGGTTCGCCCATGGTCACTTTGCAAAAAAATGATTTTGGTGCGGAGGGCATCGTACCGTTCCAGTTCCGTTTTTGACAGCACTCCGAAAGCAAAGCGGCCATGCAATGATAGGCACA